AAGAGGCCGGCGTAGACATATGGCAAGAGATGCTGACGCTGTGTTACCTTTTGTTTATCTACGTTATCCAACGTAGCGTGGAAATATCCATCATTTCGCACAGGTGCGGCAGCGCATATGCAAGCGATTTTCGTACTATGTACGACGTGGCCACATGCCACTCGTATGCTGTGGTTCGACGTGTATTCTTTATTCATACATAAGCCCGCTTTCCTCGGGGGCGTTACAGCAGGGGGGTTACAAACATGAAAAAAACCACATCTTCATTGTTACTGCACACTTGCTCAGACATCGGAATAGTTTTCAAAAAAAAAAACGAATTCACGTACAGCTTCGTCCTGGCCAGGTATGGCCTATTTTGTGTATATGATGTATACGTTCAGATATGTACTATGGATGTTCCAAGTAAGTGTCTCTCTCAATTCATGTTTTATTGTGAAATATCGGATATAACAACGTCAAACGTAATTCTTTGCGTCGTGATAAAAGTTACTCCCAGTTGAATTCTTTTTTTTTTTTCATTTCAGTACAAGTGTTATTTCATCCATACCGACTCAAAACGAACCTGGCTGCTCTGTTTTGAATGTTTTCCAACTTATTAATCAAGCCAACTAATGACGGGTCCCAGAGAGAACAAGCATAGTCTAATATTGGTCGAATACAGGTGAGGTAAGCTATATTCCTAAGCTGATAATCTGCACATTTCAAATTCCTTTGAATATAGTTCAATGCCACCGCATCCTTAGCAACCACATAATGCACATGCGCATTCCAAGAACAATCGTGCGACTATAATACCCCAAATATTTGTACCTACACTTTCTATCTAAAATATATCTTGTTATATAATAGCTTGATTTGTTTAGAAAGGCAAAATTAAAAATTGACGGCTGGTAAACGTTTAGATAGAGAAGGAGGAAGGAGAGACGCGAAGGTGAACCAGACGCGCGTCCAGTTTGCTATCCTTTATATACGCTGGGGGAACGAGGGATTAAATTATAGGGAGACGGAAAGAAAGGAACATACGAAAAATTCGTGTGAGCTTGAACTAAAATTCTTATATTATATACGTGCCAAATCATAATTATGAAGTACGCCATTATGGTTGACTCACCTTGGCATACTTTTGAACTTCTGGAGTTGTTTAACGTGCACCTAAATGAAAGTACAACGGTTTTTTTTTTTTTTGCACTTACCATCAAAATTTAACCGCCGAGGCTGGGAATTGAAATATCTACATCGAGATTGGCAGCTAAACAACCTTATAGCCGCTAACCTATATACAACCGCAGGAGAACCGCATAATATCAGTGTTCCAGAACTATGAACATACCTAAAAGGAAATAGTAACTGCTTTTGCTGACGCCGTGCCGTTATGCTCTCTGTATTACCCGAACGTGTACCTATTCGATACCTGTTCACACAAGCGTGTACCTATTCGAAGTGCCAACTCCTGTAAGTGTTTTTGAGCGCACCGCTACCTTGCAGGTGCACAAGCCTCAAGAAGTAACGCAGTGGAACATACCTGATCAAAAGCTGAACACCGATCAAAAGCTGGGCAATATGTGTCAGGACAACTGACAACTTCGAACGACGGAGACATTGACACTATATAGTCCTTCACCCGTTCAACCGTTTTAAGCAGTATAAAGAAGTGCGAACCATCAAGTTTATCAGGCATATGAAGGTGTCCCTATGTCATATACACTTCCAGTTATCGAGCACTAAGACAAATAAATAAATAAACTGTTATATACGTCACACCAGAAAAACCTAACACACATTGTGTCCAGTAGACTGCAGCCACCAGTGACTTCTTTACTACATTTAACTAGTTAGCTATACGAACTTTGTAACTCGGGAAGTAATTTCAACAGCATACTGACTGTGACCCGCCGCGGTGGTCTAGTGGCTAAGGTACTCGGCTGCTGACCCACAGGTCACGGGATCGAATCCCGGCTGCGGCGGCTGCATTTCCAATGAAGACGGAAATGTTGTAGCCCCGTGTGCTCAGATTTGGGTGCACGTTAAAAAACTCCAGGTGGTCGAAATTTCCGGAGCCCTTTACTACGGCGTCTCTCATAATCATATGGTGGTTTTGGGACGTTAAACGCCACAAATCAATCAATAAGCATACTGACTGCGCACAATATATTGCGTGGCTGAGAAAGAAAGCTAGCGAGATATGCAAGTATGACGTGACAACACTGCAACTACATACAGCGACCAACTGTGACGTACCCAGAACTAAAGGGGGAAAAAAATCAGCAGCTAAGACTTGTGCTATTCGTAAACATGCCACTCGCCGACCTAAACGACGCGTCGCTTTGACCTTGTTATGAAACGAGCTGTGACAGCTGTTGTAGCGGTTTCTTAAGAGCGTTCGCACGCATCTCTTTAACGCGTAAACATTTCTATTCCCATCCCACGAGCAAACCCGTTCGTCGATTTCCATGGAGACGAAATGATTGAGGTGCGCGTATATTTTTCGGAGCCCCCCGTTACAGCGTCCGCCAAAATATTATCGTGGTTTTGGGACGCAAAACGTCACGTTATTATGCGCGTGCTTCCGTTCATCTGTCAAGTTATAGACAAGTCGTTATTTTGACACAATGAGCTCCACGCGCTTTCAGAGCACGGCTTCTGCGGATGCTCCTCGTGCACGTTCCCGGAACTACTTGCAACCTTTCTAAACCATAAGCCTTTTACTTAAAGATCCTGCCGCCCGGTTCTTGGCCGATCCCCCTTGTGGGTGCGCCCGAGTAACAAGGATCTTCTTCTTTCTTCTTCTTTCTTCTTCTTCTTCTTCTTCTTCTTCTTCTTCTTCTTCTTCTTCTTCTTTCTTCTTCTTCTTCTCTTCTTCTTTCTTCTTCTTCTCTTCTTCTTCTCTTCTTCTTCTTTCTTCTTTCTTCTCTTCTTCTTCTTCTCTTCTTCTTCTTCTTCTTCTTCTTCTTCTTCTTCTTCTTCTTCTTCTCTCTTCTTCTTCTTCTTCTTCTCTTCCTTCTTTCTCTTCTCTCTTCTTCTTCTTCTTTCTTCTCTTCTTCTTCTTCTTCTTCTTCTTCTTCTTCTTCTTTTCTTCTTCTTCTTTTCTTCTTTTCTTCTTTCTTCTTCTTCTTCTTCTTCTTCTTCTTTCTTTCTTCTTCTTCTTCTTCTTCTTCTCTTCTTCTCTTTCTTCTTCTTCTTCTTCTCTTCTTCTTCTCTTTCTTCTTCTTCTTCTTCTTCTTCTGTATCTCTTCTTCTTCTTCTTCTTCTTCTTCTTCTTCTTCTTCTTCTTCTTCTTCTTCTTTCTTCTTCTTCTTCTTCTTCTTCTTTTCTTCTTCTTCTTCTTCTTCTTTTCTTCTTCTTCTTTTATGCGAGCAGTAGAGCTGTCACGAGCTATTTTTGACATTTCGCTTGCAGCCGTAAAGAGAAAGTTAGCCACATTTACAACTACAATCGATATTTCTCTTAAGATGGCGTTGTTATATTGGTTATATCATGTGTCTTGGCAAGACTGGTGTGAGTTACTGTATAGTTGGGTTCAGGATTTTACTGCAGAGCTGCTATGGTTGAAGTTTGTCGTGTGTCGTAGCACGGGCCGGCTCGGTGAAAACCATGGTCGTAAATAATCAATCATCCACGTCATGAGCCAGCACGGGCGCAATGACTGCCCGAACTTTGTGCAGATGGTTATCCAGGAAAGCTGAAATGAGCGGCCCCGATGTTCATTACAACTTTATCACCATTGGTTCATTTAAGTACCTCAATTATTGGTTACGTCTGTACAGAAATATTAAGCGGTGTTCACTGCCCGTGTATTTCTTGGCTATTTTTTAGTCAACTATAGCGAGATGGGTAATAGGATTTTCCCAATTTCTGTGGCGCAGTCGCACTCTGTAGTTTTACAGAAAAGCTGTTGGATTTTTTTAGCAAGATGATGAAAAATCGAGAATAGATGAACCATTGGGGTCTATATATTGGTTGCGGTGTTCGACCACTAACTCCAACGGCCGTGGGGTCGAATCCCAGCCGCGGGGGCTGCATTTCGATGGCATATCCAGATACCCGTGTACTTATATTTAGCTGCATGTTAAACTATATCACCAGATGGTCAAAATTTCGGGATGCCTTCACTACGGCGTTTTCAATATCCATATCGTGGTTATGAGATGAAAAACTCCCAAAAATATATTACTAATAAAGACCGAAAAACAAAGGAACACACAAGAGTGCTGACTTTCAGCTGCTCAGTTTTGGTAACCCAACCCATTCAAAGTGCGATGGCAATACGATTGCACAACATTTCAAGCTTCCAATAACTGCGAATTGTCCCAAGGATTATGGAAACCATTCGCACTCAGCACTGGTATTTTTTTTAATTTTTATCATTGTGTAGAACTATCCCAAGATATGTCCCTTATTTACGCCTAAATCTACTGCCTAAGCACGTTATAATACAACCAAACATCTGGGGTCACAAGAAAGATCTTTAAACTAGTTAAATGTCATTCACGAAAGAAAAAAATTACTGGCACATGTTTTATAGCACTTGGAACAACAAGTAAGGTTTTCTTCGGGAACCTATAGCCAATATTTTTTTTTTTTTTGGGGGGGGGGGGTCAATTATACTTTATAAATATTCGAGCGTGCGTTGGCATCCGTACGTGTATACAAACGCGTGCTAAATTGAAAAACTTCAGAACCTGCCCTATTCCTCAGTAGGCTAATAGGTGTTCTTTCCTCAACGCAGTTGCCTCTTTTTGATCGATTATAGCAGTACGACGTCGCATACATTAAATCCCGGCGGCGCAGAATTGCGCAGTTGGCAGACGCTCACGATCCGTCACCCAGTTGCCAGTCCCGTTACAGTTGTTGTCGCCAAATATGCGTTCGGAATGAGCGCGCCATAAAGGAGGACACTTCCGGCACGCTTATTTTGATACAACCCACGCCGCCGGCGCGGCGTCAACTTCACAGCACCTGCGAGGCGCTATCGCGTACAGTCCGACCGATAACGCGAAAGGACCGTGTTTACAGCGACGCCGACTGTCCTGTACGGCATCAGTAGTCGCCGAGAGATCGAAGCGGTGAGTTCGGCGCATTCGTTGGAGACACGGACGCCCTTCTTTTCTGCCCCCGAGTCATGGTCCCTAAGCCAGAGAACAAGCTGACCGCGTGGTACGTCAACGAACCTGAAAAGGTGCTGGACGCCCAAAGGATCAAGCAGATAATGGGGGATGGTGCAGAGATTTACGAGGTATGCTGTAACACCTCTGTATATACTACTATGATACTATAATTGTTGGTCTTTCAGATCCAAAGACTAGTGTATGATTGGGATGGACGTAGCGATATAGTGGAGTGATCCAGAAATTTTTAACGTTCGCCTAAATCTAAGTAACCTGGGGGCTTGCGAAGAGGGCACAGCTTAAATTGAGGACGACTCTTTGAGCAATGGAGAGATAGGTGTAACCTTGACTACAGGAAGAGAGCAGAGTGGGTCAGGGAACAAACGGGGGTCTAGGATATAATACTTAATATCAAGATGAAGAAATGTACACTGGCTGGGCATTGTAGCGCGTAAGCAGAATAACCGCCGGTCATTACGGGTAACTGACTGCATTCTAAGAGAAGGCAAATGCGTGAGGGGGAGACAGCAAACCAGGTGAGCAGACGAGATTAAGAAGCTTGCAGGTAGTTGAGTGGCTGCAAAAAGCACAGGACCGAGTTGATTGGCGGCCGGAACATGGGAGAGGTCTTTGCCCTGCAGTGGGCGTAGTGAGGCTATCACAGGCGGCGCAAGCGGGCAGTATGAGAAACCTTAATCAACCCCCGCCCCCAACTCCGGAATTCTCGCTTATCCTCCTATGCTCAAGAGCAAAAATAGTAAAATAATACGCAAGTTACCCGCCTTCCTGCCCCCTCCCCCCCTGGACATACGAACTCCTCCTCGTGGATACCCCCGCCCCCTAGTAAAGAAATCCTGGCACCGCCCCTGCAGGCTGCTGATGATCATGATGATCATGATGATCATGAAGTAGACGGCCCACTGGCCGGTGAGCGCAAGAGCGCGATCATTATGAAGCTGGCTGGAAAGGTGCATCGAAACCACATATTCTTACGTATGCGCACAAATGATGCAGACTTCGTCGTACGAAGACGCCATCGTCACGCTGGAGTGCATCAGGCAGAGGAAGAAAATTCGCTACGAGGACCGCCTCCATCTTTCGCCGAACAAGGAAGACTACGTGAGCATGGTAAGAATATAATACGAAGCAGATCTATATAGTTGTGGGCAAGAAGGGTAAAGTTGAGGGCTCGCTTTTTTTTGTTAGACAAAATATTGATGAGAATGGACTGACAGACAAATATGAACTTACTAACTGAAATAGTTAGTATATGCAAGATTTTGCACCGGTATGCATGTGCGCTATGCATATCGCGGACTCCAGCGAATCACGATACAGGAATTTAAGACGCATATATTACACTATCCCACAAAATTAAAGAGACACGAAAGTGAAAAACACACTGTAAGCTTATATATATATATATTATATATATATATATATATATATATATATATATATATATATAATATATATATATATATATATATATATATATATATATATATATATATATATATATATAGAAGCAGGTCCCAAAACACAAGGTTGAAAAGACCTCATCAGTGTCGTTTTTACACTGATACTTTATAGTTTTCACTGATAAAATATACTCTGAAAACTAGTGTCCTTAATTTCACCATCATACGTTTAATAGATGAGAAAATGAATATCGGGAGCTTAGAGGGGCACTGAAGTCAAATACTAAGTCAACGTTCATCGTTGAAACAGCTGTCCAGAAATCTTATAGTGCAACTCTTATGCCAAGGAAGTGCTTATTTTGAGATGAAATCATGTTTTAATGGTCCACATCGCGTTGTCGCACTTCAAATTCCCCGCCTGAAAGCGGAATGTTGGACGTCACTGTTACCATGCTCAACGTTGCCCGCCTTTACTACGCGGCCGCCGACACCAGTAACAGCAGAGCGAAAGTAGAGTGTACCAGAAGTGTACATTGTAGCGAAAGTAGCGGGAACCACAGTAGCAACAACGGCAGTTGAACAATTTTTGCCATCTCGGAGGCCATAGTTCTGCTTGCTTGGTTCAACTAAGCTCTGCTAGATGACGCTACTTATTTAACCAAAAACAATTTTTGAATTATTTGCGCTATAGTAACGCCAGACAGTCGTTTATTAATTTAAATATAAATCCATCAGAAACGCGTACAAGCAGCATTTTATTACGTCTCTTGATGCACAGAAAGTTATTTTGTTATTGCAGCTAGTTTGATTACTAGTGATGAATAGGTGAGCGCTAAAATGGGAAATCGCAGGAAACTGTGGGATACGACGGAGGAAGGACTTTCGGTTCGACGCACCTCGCGGGTCAGCAACGGCACGCGCGCATTTCTGCACTGCTCCGTTGAAATAAAGCACCTGGCCGTGCAATGTCAGAGCTTTAGAAGTTTTTTTTTTTTTTTTTTTTCCAACCGTGACTGTGACGATGTCAAGCTACGAAAGCCATGAACAGTCCGGAAACTTTTTTGTCGCACTAAAATGATCTGCAATACTTTATGCTGCTCGGGGGTGCTGTATTGTGTAGTTTACTATAGCATGGGTTGAGAAGGGGAAGTGATGGTGAAGAGGGGTGTGGGAAAGGAGGGCAGAGGGTGTAGAATTGATTGAGACGGGGTTGAGTGTGAGAAAGGAAAAGGGTAGGATACTTCTTGTATAGCATAGTACGACAATGGGCGAGGAGGAGGGAAAGAGTAAGACATAAAATAGTCTTGTGTAGTATAGTATTGCAAGGGGTGAAAAAATTACGCTCACTCTCCCCTCTCACTCCCTGCGTCGGCGAGGCGAGAGGGGGTAGCGTAGGAGAGGAAAGTTGCGCACGCGTAGTACGAGTGCGGACGCCGACAATGTAAGGCATAGGCCTGAGCGAATGAAGCTTTGCATGTAAAAAGGAATTGGGGGTGATGTGGAAGAAAAGGAGGATGAGAAGGGCACCAGCACCGCCGTTTCCTCAGCCTCCACATTACTGTGCATAGCTGCACTATTTTTCTTTTTTTTTCTGTTGAGGAAGGGCATCCGGGCGGTAACACCCCATCAAAAGTCTATATTGGTGATTAGAGCAAAAACCGAGTCTGCCATACTATCTGTTGTCTCTCATCAGCAATGACGTAAATGATGCTATGGCTGCTTGCAGATCGACATGTTCCGGCGCGAGCACAAACATCCCGACGAGGAGGTGCGCTACTTTGAGCGTGGCACGGGCTTCCTGGACGTACGCGACAAGTCAGACCGCTGGCTGCGGGTGCAGGTCAGGGCGGGCCACCTGCTCGTTCTGCCACCGCAGATATACCACCGCTTCTCACCAGCAACGCAACAGGTTTGTATGCTTTTGTACACCAACATATGCATGGGATTTTAATGCAATAGCGTTAGAGAGCTTGTTTCGCATAAATTTTGGTGTCAGTGTCTTTGGTTGTGAGCCAAAATGAAGTGCTGTTCGTGACCAAAAAATCAAGAGAGATGCAAATAAAATGATTGCAATCTCGGGCTTGAGTGAGAATTGAGCCCAGGCCATCTGCACGGCAAGCAGGTGTTCTACCACAGAGCCACACCATTGCTTTGGACTTCTTCAAAAAATAAATAAATACATAGGCAATGAAACATATTAATTGTGCAACAAGTGGGTGTACTAAAGGCTCACCTATTACTAAGAGCTTAAGGCATTTACCATTATAAGCAGCAAAAGCATCAACAGAGCGAGCAGCTGTGTAGGTTTACTTGTTACTGTGCGAATACACTTCCAGCACACTTTAGTATGGATGCATTGTGGGCCCTTTGCCGATTTGAAAAAGAAAGGATTATGGCATAGTGAGCACTGCATAAACGCACTCGCAGCAGGCATTCTAGGATAGTTTGCAACGGCCTAGGTAATTGCACAGATGTGTAACTTGAAACTAGCAATGGAGAAGGCGATGTGAATGTGGACTGCTTACGCTATCGTGTTCTACTCATGAAGGTGAAACTCAAGCATTCTTTAAACTTTAATCTATCAATGCCAACAACAAGGCTAGGAATGTTGCCATTTTGATCCCATCATCTGACATGGTGACTGCGGCACAGCGCAAACATTCCACACCGTGATCTGCACCGATCTGGTGGTACCACCTCCTAAGTGGAAGAGTAGGTTGGTTTGTGTAAAGTGGTAGTAAAGCTTGCATTAGTGCATTTCCCTTTTGCGATGTCATATACACCATGGTGGCTATGAGAAGATGTGCAAGAGGAAAAAAAATTTAGATGGTGATGCCACCTTTAAGTTCCTGCACCAGTCTCCAAGACATCAAACATTTGGCGGCTTCCACAAAAGCCTGGGTAGTTACTAATCGGTAAAATTGAAGTACATTGTTATCTGACAGGCCTGGAGACTTAATATACCAAGTTTCAGAAAATTTCACGGAGCCACTGAGGCCAAAATACGAAAGAAACATCTCAAAATTCGTGACGTCACCGCTGGAAATTTCAGCAAGAAATTGAAAAGTGATATACCTGACATTGATTTTCTCATCTATTAACTCACAGTGGTAAAATTACTGTTGCTACAATTTTCGAAGTCTAATTTAGTAATATAAACTAATTTGTTGTAATATAGTTTCCTTGTCTCTTTAACATACGAAAGCAACCGAGGCTAATAGAGAAGCCATTATGGAGGGCTCTGGTTAATTTAGACTACCTGTGTTTCTTTCATGTGTGCTGACATCGAACAGTACAAGGGCCTCTAGCATTCAGACTTCATCGAAATGTTACTGCCACAGCTAAATGTGAACCCACAAATTTCAGGCTAGCAGCCAAGCACCGTGACCACCACAATATCATGGTTACCCTAAATAATACCCGGCTGCGGCTTTGAAAGATTGGCTGACGCTGTACTCATCATATGGAGAAAAAAATATAGTCAAAGTACATTTAAGTAATAAATATACAGCTGCTAAAATAATAAATGCAGCTTGCACAGAGTGTATAGCTATTACACGCTCAGTTGCGATTGCAAATTAGGTCTCGTAGCTTTCCGTACAGCAGACGACGGAATGTGTTAAGAAATGCCCATTAGTTGTCAGACAATGGTCTTGTGTGTGCCCTGAAAGTTGTATATAGTATGACCACTGTACATGCACACTGCACACGCTGAAAGTTTTCATAAGCGTCGCTACGAATTCGAGACTTGGAATTGTATTGACACATCAGACTGCCAATCCACCACTACGACAAAGCTGCACCATGCTTGGGTTGTTTTCCGTAACACCCCCCTACAAAGTCTAATAGCTCCCAAAATATTCAAGAGACTAGTCGCAAAGACGAGGTGAATTCCTCTTGTTACTTGCAATGCACTACAAGTTTTCATGTCCACCCAATAAAATTCACAACAATCACTTCCCACGTGATCTTGCTCATGTGCAGGAGGAATTAGTGATTCACCGCCTCTTTGAGGATGTGGATGCCTGGACAGCAGACTTCAGGGATGAAGAAGGCGACCAGTGACTCGTCCAATTGATCTCCACACTTAGCTTTGTTGTACGCGTCTGCTCGGTGCGTGCTCTACTTTGTATGTGTGGAACACTTGTACATTTCAGAAGAGTTGTATTGTGTTTTTCCCTTTGCTTCAAACCTTCTTCAATACGCAGCAGGTAAAAGTCACTAACACCTTGCAGCTTTGCTCAGCACCACAACAGGGCAAACAACAACCTCCTCAGACAACCTGCCAAATTTAAATTTAGAACAGAAACAGGTAGCCACTTCAGATCTAGTTACCTCATTCAAATCTATTTCTTTGGGTACTTTCTACAAAAGTACCCAAAAGGACAAAAGTAACCCTGGATGCACGCACTAATTTCGTGCATCCAGGGTTCATGCTCGTTTACATGACAGCAATTCAAAGGTTTTCAAGGACTTTCAAGGCTACATGTGTGAATTTTCAAGGACCACTTCGTCCGTTAGAAACCCAATTTATGCATTTTCAAGTGAGAATTGAGCCCAGGCCATCTGCACGGCAAGCAGGTGTTCTACCGCAGAGCCACACCATTGCTTTGAACTTCTTCAAAAAATGGCGGCTTTAAATAATTAGAATTCAACAAAAAAAAGTAACATCGCTGGAGCAAACATCAGAAACATGGCTCTGATAACATTTACTTTCCAGAGAACTCTCAATCGTAGTTTCTTAGAGGTTGATAGATAATCGCTTTCAGTATGACACAAGATACAATGGTGTATTCTGATAGGCAAAGCTAAGAAACAGTTATTATGCTACTCCCATTTCAATGCTCTCATATCAATGTCCGCTACTATCTCCTTGTGCTTGGTGTTGGCAGTCCTCATTAGGCTGTCTGACTTGATAATGCATGTCACGTCACTAGTTGCCTCTGCCTTTTCTGCTTATGAGTCTGCTATAGCTGCTAGTTCCGCAACAGAAACTTCTAACATCTTTTTCGTTTTTGTAAGCATTTTGTCCTCCTCCTCAATGCAACATTTTTTTCTAATCCTCCTGCTACTTCCTCTTGCGAGTCTTCAAAAATGCACAGTGTTGTCTTCCGCAGTGGGGCAGTCGTTATGGTGCTCGACTGCAGATTCGATGGTCATGGGTACGACCCGGACCACAGCAGTTCAATTTCAATGGAGGCAAAACAGTTAAGGCCTGTGTAGTGTGCAATACATATCAATGCATGTTAAAGAGCGCCAGATGATCAAAATTTCCGGAGCCTTCCAATACGATGTCTCTCATAATGATTTCCTTGTTTTGGGACGTAAAGGCCCAGATATTATCATTATTAAAAATGCATGGTGTTGGTTCCTCTCAGAAGATACTGCTGTTCTCAAATCTTTTAACATAGGCACATTACGTGTTCCACATGCTACATTTACGGCATCCCAAATAATGGTCTGTGAAATGTGCAAAAACGTTAATGAAAAATACAAGGAAATTCAAGGATTTTCAAGGACATCCAAAATTCCAGCACATTTAAGGCCTTGAAAACAAACTTCTCAAATTCAAGGGCTTCCAACGTTTTCAAGGACCCGCAAGAACCCTGTGCATCATAATGCTAGAAAGGGGCTAAAAACACTTTTACACGAGAAGGCATATGTTGGTGCTCCCCAAGAGACTTTTGAACATTCTACCAGCATCGACTAGCACTAGCTTAATGCTGGCTAATCGTTTGTGTAAATGAAACACAGCCTTCATTCAATCTGAATTCAATGACCAAGTTGCCTAAGAATCTTGCATAGTTGCAATCTTCCACACATATATCTTATATCCACATATATCTTATATACACATATATCCACACATATATCTTCCACACATATAAGTTATATTACTAGTTGTATGGGCTCTTTTCCATGTGACTGCGCTTGTGTGTGTGCCTTCTCCGTTTCTTGTCGATTTTTCGCGCAGTTTTGTAGTCATGATTTACCAACTCGCCCAGCGTTCAGTACTCTTAACATATATCTCATACATTTCTTGCCATAATGACGGTGGGAAGTGACATGCCCACTGAAAAGCTATCAAGAGCAAAACTGTGCGCACGTAATATGTCTGAGAGCATACGCTCCCATATGATCACATTCATGCAAGAAACTTAAATGCCATACTAGCATTTATGTTGAGGCAATGCAGTCGCAGCACTTTCATATAACACTATGTACACATCTCGTGTGTGATAGCAAGCAATGCACAAGTGATATCTTAACTAATCGTTTTATTCAGTGCGAGACATTACTTGCAAAGAGGATTCCCAGTACTGCTTAAACTTACTAAAATTTACATTTAATGCAAGAAGGTTGTTGCTGTTTTTGGGTGAATAAACATTGTATTCAAGTGCAAAGCCAAAAACGCCCCAACTAATTTTCCAATTTTGTACAACCATCTACACGGTCTGACAGCTTGCACGAACATTTCCAACCAGAGCATGTATTGCTTTAGTGTCAAACCTATGGCTCGGCCTTTAAATCAAATGCCATTTAGATTAAAAGTATTGCATACAGTACATTTTCTCATTGAGAGGGAAATTATACTACTTTAGTATAACAAAAAAAAAACATATTGCTTTGTCCCTGTACTTGAAGCTAAAATAAACTAGTGGTTTCAACAGCCTAAGGAGTGTCGTGTTTCTAAGATACTAAAAATCAGCCTCCATTCGTCAATAACAGTGGTAAAACTGCAAACATTTATTACTGCAACGGCGGAGCGGGCCAGCATCTAAGTCGTCCTTGCAGCAAGAGCCACTGCCTCTCACCAACAGATGAACAATGGTGATAATTTATTCTTGAGCATGGCAATGGGTGGGAGTGGAGGAGGCAGTGTCTCAAGCTTGTCACCGGTGTAACCAATTCATAGCTTCTACTTTGTGGCTTGCTCCAGGTAGGAGATCAAGTCGGCCCGATCTTGCACCTTCTTAAGGCCAGCAAAGACCATCTTAGTGCCCGGAATGTACTTCTTGGGGTCCTCTAGGTAGATGAACAGCGTATCCTTGTTCCAGGTGATACCTAGATGAACAATGATGAAAACTTTGTTAGTATCAATCGTGACTCATGACAGGGCACTGCCATGGAGTGCACATACCACATATTCTCAGTTAAAACAAGACAATGAAACAATGTACATCATAATGGGGTGCAGCTTACGTAATGGAAGTTTCTTTTTTTTTAAGGCGCCTTGGAACACTTTACCGAATAGCCATAAAATGAATTCACTAAGGAGATTACTGCTTTACGAATTTGTAGAATCTGTCCAGTAGGAGCACAGTTTCAAAGATTTGTCGCACGCTGCCCTTGCATTGTCTGCTCTCGTCTGCGGCAGCACCAGTAACAACAGAGCGTGCCATGCTCAAGTCAACTAATGGCGGTGACGAGCGATTTTTGAGCTTGTAATGTCATTTGTCGAGAGAAGCAATATTTAACTGACTTTGAGAACAAACTTATTGTGAGTTACATATCAAGTGCTGTGCTATAATATTTGGCTCGCATGTCCACGGGAGCCTCGACTATTGATCGGCAGGGTTTTCTGACCATGCTCAAAAAGTATTGCAGGGCCCCTTTAAAACTCTTGAAGCGACCAGTGACTCGTCCAACTGATCTCCACACTTAGCTTTGTTGTACGCGTCTGCTTGGCGCACGCTCTACTTTGTATGTGTGGAACACTTGTACATTTTATGGCGTGGGGGGGGGGGGGGGGGACCTATGTGTTGACCCAAGTTCATGTTTTATTCAGCTTATGCACTCAGTGATCACTTATAATCACCTGGCATACACTTTATGCATTAATGGCTCCTGTTTAAAGATACTTTAAACAAACTAATGCAAACCCACATACCATTACGTTCATTTCGCATGAATCCATCTAAACCCTAGTTTAACAAGGCTTTTGTGCACACTAAAACAAAAAAGTGAATAAATAATTAAGTTCACTTTCAATGAACTTTAATTATCACCAGGGAACTGTGGAAAGGTATGCAACACATGCAAAGTGAGCCCACTACCAGTCTTTGCAAAATGTGCATGGTCATCAAAGCAAACAAACAATTAGATATACTTTTTTACGTTATCTTTATTTTTTTGATGAAAGATGCTGTTGAATAGCACCTCAAGTTGGGTTTTAAACAAGCAGACGTGACCTTCCATATTGACACAACATGTCGAACGCACATATATCACAGACATCACCTCATCTCCCAGTAGATTCCGGCATACCACAGGGTAGTGTTCTAGGTCCGCTGCTGTTTATAATTTATTGCAATGACATTGTTAATGCTATTACTGATCCGGTTAAAATAAGACTTTTTGCAGACTGCATTATTTTCACAGATGTACACTCGCCAGATGACCAGGTCGCTCTCGACACTGCCCTTAGCAATATTCTTTCGTGGTGTAACAAATGGGGCATGGTGCTCAATTTCGATAAATTTGTTTGCCTTCGAATTTCTAACAAGAAAAATCCCCTTCAGTTTTCCTATTCCTCGAAAAGCCAACCCTTAAAAGAAGTCAGTCAATACAAATACCTAGGTATAACGATAACAAATAAGTTGTCCTGGAATGCACACATTGCTGATGTTTCGTCATCGGCTTTCCGTAAACTGTGTCTTTTAAGGCACAAACTCAGAGACACCCCGTCGCAAGTGAAACTATTAGCTTATAACACTTTAATACGTCCAAAGCTTGAATACGCTTGTATTGTATGGGATCCGCATACTAAGTCTAACATATATTCCCTCGAAAAGATTCAAAGACGAGCAGTGCGTTTTATTTACTCAAAGTATGGTCGTGGTACATCAGTTACTGAACTAATGCGAGATAACGAATTCCAGACGCTACAATCGCGGCGCCAGCTTCTCCGTTTAAAATTCTTGGACTCACTAATTAACAATAAACTTGGGCTAGACCGAGCACATTACGTTACCCCAGTTTCGACCAGGCAAACTCGTCATTCTCATGTCCGATCTTCAACTCCGTATTTTGCGCGGACAGATTTATTTAAGTTTTCCTTTTTTCCGAGAACTGTAACAGAATGGAATAACTTGCCTTCTGATTTCCTCCAAACCTTCAATCTTGATGAACCCAATGTTTAATTCTGTGAATCTTGACCCCCCCCCCCCCCCCCTCCCAATATCGCTTGATTTTTTTTGTTTTGATGTTTCTCTTCTACTCTCTCTTCTCCAACTCAGATTTATTTTAGTCAAGCTGTGTTACTCATGTACTGATTGCGTGCTTTCTTTGTTTCGATGTTTCTCTTCTACTCGCTCTCCTCTTACACAGATGTATTTTAGTGAAGCTGTGTCACTCATGTACTGATCTTGTGGTTGTGTTTGTGCCCCTCCTGCTTGAGCCTTTTTGGCCTGCAGTATTCCACAAATAAATAAATAAATAAAAATGTAACAAATTATTCTTTACATCGAACATTTGTAACGTCCCCTTGGCTATATTTTGGATATATAAAATATTCCACACATCCAATTGTATATATAACTCTATTGCGATCCCAGTCAGATTAAATATATCTGTGTTCAACTGTGGTTAAATCAAAGTTCAATATAATCTATGTACATATACATACGAAGAATTGGCAATGAGGTTCAGGGGTCTCAAAGGCTGAAGAAACGTCAAGCACGACTGCGCGGCAATGTTCAAGCTTAGCATAACAGTTCATTGAATTCTTTTAATTGAACTGTTTATGTCCCCACTGTTGCTTGATGCAATGATTATAGATTACAATGAAGCGGCTGTAAACTAACCGTTGTTGCTAGTAGATGCCTGCATACACGTGGCACGACTAAAGACGTGGGCAAGTTTTACCATTTAGTATATTTAGTAATCAACATTCACTCAAAAAAATACCTATGAAATGTTGACCTTTGAGAGAAAAAAAAAAGGTCAGTGAATAAGTGTAGTGCAGTGTACTGTCCACCTGGAGGCTTGCAAAAAGGGTTCATCCTAAACTGAGGATGACTCAAGACGCGATGTAAAGAAAAATAACAGGTGTAACATTAAGAGACAAGAAGAGAGCTGAGTGGGTCAGAGAACAAGCCGGAGTTGAGGGTGTCATAGGTGAAATTAACAAGAAGAAATGGACACGGACCGGGCAGGTAGCACGAAGGCAGGATAACCGCTGGTCCTTCAGGGTAACTGAATGGATTCTCAGAGAAGGCAAACGCTCGAAGGGAAGATGGAAAGTTAGGTGGGCCGATTAGATGAAAAAGCTCAAAGGTATAATGTGGCAGCAGAAAGCACAAGAGCGGGTTCATTGGCAGATCATGGGAGAGGCCTTTGCCCTGCACTCTAGAGGTCGTAGGTCAGACTAATGATGATTGTGATAAGTGTACTCTCCAAGTCGCACTATTTTCAAGTGATGCGATGTTGCTCCATCACAGAACTATGTTAATGAAATTCACCTTTGCTCTTGTTGGCATCTGTGTAGCTGAAGCCAGGAGATTGTCCCGTCTTGCGTCCGAAGAGACCATGCAGGTTGGGTCCGGTCTTATGCTTGCCGCCAGCTTCAACTGTGTGGCACTGCGCACACCGCTGCACAAAAATTTTTTTGCCCTTCTCGGGGTCACCCTTAGGGATATCGGCCATGGCCTGGAGAAAACAGAAGAAAGGAATCGCTTGTCTGCAGTTACAGAACAAGAAAAGGATCACGTCGTCATAGCGTGAACAGATCAATAACTCGCGTAGCTTCACAGAGGTCGACCATAATCGAGCATCGGTGTAACTAACTAGAGGATACTCCTTCACCCTCCCTCCAAATGAAGTCGGGAGCTGACGCAGTTCAGTGATTGTGCCTGCACGTTAACGCTTTCCGGACTCTCATTGAAACACTTGCACTGCAAACTTAACGCTGTAGTTATTTGCCAGTGAAACGTCCCGTTACTAGGATTGAAACGGTACCCGCCTAGCAATACACAGGAGCTTTGCAGAGAAGTAGTTCTCCGCGCCCAGTGCGGTCTCTTGTCAGTTTGCCGCACTTTCACCCCAAATCAGCGCTGTCTTAAGCAACGGAAATATTCAGAAGCGACCGAACAGTAGTGCCGCGGGGTAAAATACGAAAGACGGTGCGAGAGATCAATACATGCGTCATTAACAGTTATAGGTCAAAGTATATGCCACGTCCTTTGAAAACTCGAGGGCACCTGAAGCAGTACAGGTGACGCAAGCTTGCGCACGTCGATTACAGTACACTACTTGCACGAAACATCACGTTGCCTAGAACGACAGCTCTGCTCAGCCGGCAGTGAAAGCAGTTGCAACGGGTACGCGACCCGTTTCCTACGGGCGCTATAGTCACGGTCACCTTGTGCGGCAGGAGAAATATGCCGAGAAAAATCGCACACACCACAATCGGGAAGTCACGCGAAAGCCACAAAGCACCTCCACAGCGCGAACTACCGGGTTCGTCCGAGACCCGACAATAGAACCGATCACATGTGAAAGTAGTATGTTGAAATCTGATGCAAACTATCTTCCGGGGAAGCACATTTTTCATTCATTCGTTAGGCCTATCACTGACCTCCTACTGGCGATTAAACTCAAGGGTATACACATGGAAACCAGTTAACAGAATTAATCAGAAGTGACCAGCACAGCACTTATAACTTTGCGCGTTCTGGTTAAGTAAACTAAAAAAAAAATTAACACATCGATGAGCGGTACTCACCTCGCAAGGTTAACACGCTGTCGCTACCGCCGGAGTAATGCAAGGAAGGTGACCCACTGCCAGCCGGCAGATCAGGACACGCCACACTTGCGCACATTGCGCATGCGCGTGGAGCAAACGCACATGCGCAAAAAGCAGCAGGAAAGGAGGGGGTATTCTTCCACCGTGGGAAGGGCGTATCATCGGCTACGGCGTGTGATGACGCAAAAGATGACGCAAAAATGACGTGTAGACTCGCGCCCGTCGAGCACCTTCGTTTATCGTTTCGTTGCGTCAGAAACGAACCTGTGCAAGCGGTTCTCGGGCCACTCACAAAGGCCAACCACCTACTTACGTTTACGTAACGCAAATAAAGAGTAAGCAAAAAGGTACTTAATAGAGGGCCACGGGGCTCGATACCGTTTATTTCCCAGTGGTGTTAAAACGATCGTGACTTCAAAATGCTTTTTTTTTTTCCTCTCTCCTGTGATAGTAAAAATTACACCGCATAAGAAGATACGTCAAGGAAACCAGTACACACACACACATGGACTAAGTGGGCTTTTTAATTTTTTTATTTTTTGTGTTTGTGGGATAGTTCTCGCGACATAATCATAGCAAGTTGTCCAGTATAATCAGGTTGTACAAAAACATTTTCTGTATTGTGGCATGAGGTTAGTTAAATAACCTTTACATGCACACCCTGGGAATCAACTGGGGGACCGGTGGCTTCGGTGCTTATGTTTCTTGTGTTTTTCTTTCTTGTGCTTCTTGGATTTCTTGTCCTTCCTAAAAAAAAAAAAAAAGAAAGGTTCTTATCCAAAGCAACCAATATTGCTCTTGAGCAATGAAACAATTACCAGCTGAGCTGTAAAAGACACATCGTGAGAATTCAGGAACTTGAAACTATAAGAAAGTGGCAAGCAACTAAACCTACAAGGCAAATAAAACTTACCAAAAAAAGGTAATTTTATTTTGTGCATATTAGAGCCAACAAACTTACACATTCCAAGTTAAAACTTGTGTTTGGGTCGTAAACTACTTCCTCGTGTGCCAGTGTTACGGGGTTATTCAGAGCAAGCTCTACAAGCAAGCCACACACACAAGCAAGTGCATAAAAATACTGACTTGTGCTTCTTTCTGGAGCTCTCTTCTTTGTCTGTCCGGCAATCTTGTGTGGTGGCTGCATGGGAAATAAACTCCACACCTTCGGCCGGCCGTTTCCCACGAGTACAGAAATCACCCCTGGAAAATGAAACATTTCCAATCCCATTTCAATCAGCCAACTTATAACAAATCAAGCTTGCCTTGTACCAGTTCAACTGAAGCCAAACATGGCAAACATGGTAGTTCACTGAAATAAAGTACAAGCTATTATAAACTTTTATGACCTTTCTGGAAGCATTATGGGAGTTGATTTACAGCGAAATTTCATTCCTATCATTTCATTTTTTGTGCTTTACCAGTGCATTGGTTGGTGCTTTTTCCACATTAGGAGATCTGGCTAGTTGTGAATGGTGTACGATGAGAAAGGATAACGACAGCGCAAAAGAAATCTCTACACTATCCACGACTATAACAAAGGTACAAGTGATGTTGTCTACACTGCACTCTTTATTCATGTTAAAGCAATGAGCCGAAGATAGTAGTTTTGCGCAACATTTTATTCTATGCTTTTCCAAACAACCATGAGTAGTTATAGGTCTCAAAGCCAATTGGCTAGGTGCATGATTAAACACACAAGCCAGATGGCAGTAATGCAAAGTGAATGGCATACCTTGCATTGGTACCTACGCCTGAGACACGGTCTCCATCTCCATCGCCTTTGCTGCCATCACCCCTGCGCAGTGCTTCAGTCACCTCCTGGAAAAGTCGAACACAAAGCAGTGCGAGATTTCTGTTGTTGAGCTACAGCTTTGACTTGCCACACGGACGCTGTAAATCTCAGTCGTGGCAGACCCAAACGTGTGATGTGGGCACCAATTTCCATAAATATCCTGCACATAATGCGCTCCAGTGGTTCATGCATGTCTGTGTAGCAAGTCCATAAGAGGACTATAGGAAGGTTAAAAGCAGCATACCTTCTGAGGAATTGCTTTATGACTGGACCAAATGCACTACAGTAAAGTTCAAACAAGCCCACCCCCCCCCCCCACCCCTCCTCAGTGAGCGCTCCCTTTTTCGAGAGATTTGAAAGTGGGGAAACTGCCCCCCCCCCCCCTTCAAATCTGATACAATTATCCCTCATCGTAAAGGGGACACTTGCTCAGTATTATAGGGTATATACTGGCAAACATCAGACCAAAGAACAGGTGAAAAAATATACAAAATGTCAAGCAGACCCAATGCTGAAAAAAAAACAAGGTAAATAACAAACATAACATAGAATAATTAGCAATGTGACAAGCAATTAATATGAAAAATTTGCCTACTCTTTATTCAGAAATGAGTAGCAAGAGAGGACTTCTAGTTTTGGGTGTAGTGTTACTGCCAAAGTACTGTTAATGCCATACCAGCCTTCCAGCTTGTTTAGTGGTTAATGACAGTCTGCGATATGGCATTCAGATGCCTGCCCTATTCTGATCACCCATTGTTGCCCCCTGGACATTGTCAATAAATTGAACAGATGAAACGAGTCAGCATTTTCAAAGTGATGAAAAATGTGGCACTACTAATTGCTACACATCACAACCAAACGAAATTTTCTCACCAAGAATTTATATACTTTTTAGACATTCAAATATGTGTTTTATGTCAAATAGATGTTGGTAACTTATACTAGCATGATTATTTTATGTCTGCTAATTCATCTCATAATAAATTATTAGGTTTGAAATTTAATTATTCATGTGAATGCAGCTTCTGTCAATCTAAAAAAAAAAGTTGTATATCTATATACAAATATGTTACTGCACTACACTGTTTCTGCAATTTTTAGTTTGTAAATCAGACAATGTTGTACCGCTCGAAAATCATAGAACACCAAATAATTCTAGTGCAGCCTCTGGTTAGTGGAATCATAGGAAGAAACATACAAAGCACTTACCGCTTTGCTCAGTGGCTGGTGTGTCGGTTTTGCTGGAGTGGCAAAGCCCCTATTGGATTTAAGATTACATAGGTTACTAACATTGAATGTTGGGCTAGTTCGTGTAGCATTATTAGGCATTTCACAGTGCGAAGTATGAGGACTGACAATGAAAGACTGTATGTGTTTTTCTGTCATCCCCTGTTCCTTGCACTGTGAAAGACAGAATTACATAGAACTAAATACGGAGACATTTGCTTCTGCGCAGAGCACATGAAGAAGATCATGACTGCGAAATTACATCTTCGATTACCCGTTGCAGCAGCAACACTTTGGTGATGAGGAATGCAAGAATATATCTGTCTACTTTGACAAAACACGAATTAAAGATGCATGTGATCAATCATCACATTTAACTTGGAGCCCCCCACGTAGGCATTCTAGTGGTGCACCTGTTACTTCAATCAATTCCAGTTCAGTGCACCTGGCAACAAGACAACAACAGACTCACAATGCTGCCAGCATGGCTTCTTCTTCAGCTTTCTTGGCAGCTGCCACCTCACTCTCTCTCGATGTTGATGCAGCCTGTTGCTTCTCCTTGGCATACCACGTCAAGTCTTTGCCTTTTTGCCATCGTCCCACTGGTGCTCGAAGGGAGTGTCCTGTTCAGGGAACGGGAAGAGCTACATAAGTACAGCACACAGAGTGACACCACGTCTTCTATTCATGCTAATACACAGATATTATCCACAACACTATCAAATTCTTCAACCGAAGCAAACGTGAAAATGCACGAGTAGCACAGCCATAAAAACAGTTCGCGCTGCAACCTACAGCAATGTAACGGTGAGCTGCAAAGAAATTGAAACTTGCGCGTAACAGGTAACAGGCTACAGGCTTGAGAAAGAGGGTTTTCGGCAAGGTTCTGTTTGGAGAAAGAGAATCTTGCCAGAAAGAGAATCTGAGGATTGATGACGATTGATATGTGGGGTTTAACGTCCCAAAACCACCATATGATTATGAGAGACGCCGTAGTGGAGGACTCCGTAAATTTCGACCACCTGGGGTTCTTTAACGTGCGCCCAAATCTGAGCGTACGGGCATACAACATTTCCGCCTCCATCGTAAATGCAGCCGCCGCAGCCGGGATATGAACCCGCGACCTGCGGGTCAGCAGCCGAGTACCTTAACTAGACCACCACGGCGGAGCAAGAATTTGAAGGCGCAAGAACAACGAAGCGCAGAGAATTCGCAAAGAGCGTTCAGGTATTCAGCCCTGCGGCATTTTCTGAGTTATTAATCAAGCGCTCCAGACAAAATTGTGGATGCCTGCACAGGTCTTGCCACATTGATTGGATCACACGATTTGCACATTGCATAGTAAGAGCTACCTCTGAGGCCAGTGGTAAGCAAGTGCCAGCGTGAACAGCTGAATTTCATACGGTGAGCCAGCAATGAGACAAAGTGTATTCCCTGCTGCAGATAAGGACGGAGTTCTCAGATAACGAGGGAATCCAATAAGTGGGCGAAACCATGCGGACTCCAGCCGCTCGTCACACTACGCATGCAAGGGCACCACTGGCAAAACTTACCCAGATAATTTTCCCGGTATTTGTCGTCCTTAACGTCTTCCCAGTTGAACTGGTCAGCACCTCCACGGGTACCGCCACGAACAGGGTGAAACATGTTCCCCAAATCTTCGTCGGCACGCTGAATTCCTTCCAAGCGATTGACGCTACTCGCCTCAAGGGAAGGACATCGTCTCGGAGGATTTAGGAGAGCCTTTAGCTTAGTGTAGATCTGCAAGTCAACTAAAGCAAGCAGCAATACGAATATGAATGCACTGGTTTATTATTCAAGCGATTTCAGATCTTCCCTCCAGCAATCTAACCACAACTACGATACCACAACAAACGCTGACCCCAAGTGCAATCACAACGTACTTGGCTTGGCTACTTTACAAAACAGCAAAATCAAAACTATTTGAAAAAAAGAAATAAAGCTATGGTGGCTAGCCACCATAATAAAACTTACAAGAATTTAATGTCACAGACAACAACAAAAAAAACCATAGTTTTTCTATTTCTTTCCATCGATGTATTGATCCTACCCTACCTTCGAAAGCTTTCTGCCATCTCTATGCTTTCTGCACCAGCGTGGTTTGCATAGCCTTCCAGATTACAAACGTTGCAAGCTTTTTGCACCTGCCTGTCCTGGCTTTGCACTGCCTCCTTGAATAACCCACCTTGACCAAGCAATGATGTCATGACTTCATGACGACGTCACAAGCCTTGACGTCACGAGTGCAGCATTCAGTGACGTAATCACGTAATGATTTTTCGTCACATGTGTTGAGCCCCCCCCCCCCCCCCCCCGACGGTCAATTTTTCGCGCTTGATGACGCATCGAGGGTTTTCGCCTTAAAATCACTTGTCTTGCTTTCAATGTACCACAAAAGCATATAGCCTCTGAAATTTGTCTAGGTCTTCTACTATTAGTTTTGTCGAAGCTCAGCTCTAAAGAAATATAAATTAAGCAGAATTGTTATGCTTGCATCAACAAGTAGTTTTCCAGCTCAGCTAATTATTCTTCGCAATAGGTTGGAAAGGTGGGCTAGTTGGTAATTCATAATTGTTCAGCGAACTGGGAGCGCGGGAGGAATACACACACGAAGCACAGCGGAGGCACACAGCACGAGCACTTACTAACAATCGAGTGCTAAGTGCCCTCTCTTTGCTTCGTGTGTGTGTTTTTCCCACACTCCCAATTTGCTGCATAATTATTATTCACCATTGCAGCAAAACAAAACACTGATTAGCAAGAATAACATTTGCACTCTTCACTGCTGCCCTTGAAGGTATATTTCTAGACATTGAACATAAGCAGAATAAATATTGCTCTATTCTATACTTCGTTACTGCACCTACAGTAAGCTAAAAAGGACAACTGCAACATGCAGTCAAACAATTATAAATTTAATTGAGATAACTGAGTCATCTGTTGCTTGTAATGCAAGCAATGTTTGGCAATACGAGAAATACAGCTTAGACGATATTTGTCTCGGGCATCATCTTGTCTAATCCCACAAGTGAATATGGTACCTCGATGACTGAATTATCGAATACATGCATGCTGGATACATGTGGTAAAGATCCTATTCTCTCTACCTGCATGCTTCCATGTTACATGCATGCAGCATGGCTCCTATGTACGAGCTCAAGAAATTGTCTAGAAACTTTTAAAGGGTGTGAAACCTCGCGACTTCTGGGACATGTCCAGTCCCTACACATGCATCTATCACTGCATTCAGCAGTACGGCTGTTCCAAATTGGGAAATTGGTGTTCCAGAATATATCTGATTGTTGAAATGGCCTCAGCTTTATATAGTGAGAACAACTAGAATTTTGTGAAAAGTAAATTTTAGGTTTGAAGCGAATTCGAATCAAATAGTGATTTGGTCAAAAAATTACAAATTGAATTCGAATACCTAGTATATGTTACATATTATACAGAAATATGAGCATATTCATCATCACCCAACAACCTGCTCAATATTTTTTTTTTAATTGAAACAAAGCATATGCAAATGTCATTCTTTTTGGTTCAAAAGAAGATGAGGCAACTTTGAGTAAAAGCAGGATTTGCCTTTCAGGATGTGCTTTAAAATTTACTACACTAAAGAGGATATAAGCCAGTAAAAAAAGCTTCTAAACATAAAAGATGACGAATCGATGTGAGGGCAACATATCTTTATATGTTAGAGCAAGTGGGGCTTCGCGGCAGTGCGCATTTTTTCTGGATAACTGTAGTCAAGGTCTATTTCCCCTGCTCTGCGGTGAAACCAGCTTTACAGAAGGTTTCATGTGGAATAATGTACAACTAGCACTTCATTTCGAGTACTTCGAAATTTCTAATGATTCGAATACTCTAAAATTCGTCCAAATATTTGCACAAGCCCAGCTACAAAGAGCCTAGCTACAACGACATAATCTATGTCGTTGTAAATTCATTTTGGCACTGAAATGCTGGCAATACTTTAGTCTTGTCAGGGAGCACTTGCAGTTACTTCCGCCTATGAGCCCACATTGTCGAAATCAGTTCTGCCTCATGAACTTCAATAATAGACAATAAAGAAGTGTCTGTTCTAATGGACAGAGCACATTTGACAAACTGATGTCAATAAAAACACATTGAGCTTATGTTGGCACCCCAAGTACCATCTAAGAGCGCATGCCAATGGGTGATTTAGTATGTTATCATTTTCGTTATGATCTTGTCAAGAATTTCACAACTCTACACACACTGCCAAAGAGCAAGACAGCATACACAGCAACAAAATGATAAATATGCTTTAATAGATGAACTGTGAAGTGTGAGAACCTAGACTATAATTCCTTATATTTCATGTAGTGTCATCTCTTTTTAGTCAACCAGGCAAAGTACTTTGCTTTGGCTAGTTTGACACTGTCTGTTGAACTGTCTTGTGCTGTCTTGTCCGTGTCCAAAGCTTTGCACTCCCGGGGTTCTTGATCAACGTCCATGCCCACATCAGAGTCAGACTCATCTTGGCTCATGGCTTCGTCATCATCAGAAGCAGTGGCTTCTTTATGCTTCGTACCGAAGTCTGCAAAAGGTAAGCACAAAACAGATCCTAAAGCTTAGTCTCAATTACATGTACTCAAACAAGTTTTGCTATCATCAAACACTAACATAGACCATGCTTAAATGTCTTTCTCCGACAAACAAAAGTAAATCAAGCTGTGCAAGTGCAGCTTTTTCTGTAATCCCCCATTTTTGCATTGACAATGCAGTGTACTATTGTTTACAGACAAAATAAAGTTTGATTAATTTATCGAAAATGAAGCTGTAAATATAACGCAATGTGTGAGCTCTGGTACATGTATTCATTCAACTGAACAGACAGGTGAGGGTAAACTGTGTGTCCAATAACAAATTAAAACATCCTCAATTTGTATGGTTTGACCACAGTTAGTTCACAGCTGTATCACTACAAAAAGCATGATCCAATGACAGCACCGTAAAAGAAGCATTTTCACACTCCAGTGTCAATGCACTTTAGGGGCAGACTTTCATATCAGGCATTTGTCCTTACTTATGTTAGCAATAAGTAGGGTTCAGTATCTTTCCTTCCACCTAGAAATCAAGAATTTAGTTTAATGCACAATGTGATTCCCATGCAGAGGGGCAGAAATATCAATCTACATTACCTAACATTGTGTGTTTACCAGTTTATCATCAGGGCCACAAAACCCTGACATTTGGGACATTAAAAAAAGCACAAGAAATTGTAGACAGTTTCGCCACATCACAGTTTTCAAGTATGAACTGTCCAAGTCTCACAATGCCAAACTGCATTGACAAACTAATGTAATGCGAGTGTTGTTTTCTCAAAGGGGCCATGACACCCAATTTTCAATCCCAACCTATGTTTTGAGGGTTAATAATTGTGCATTCACAAATGAACTAGCGAATTTTTAGTGCATTTATTGTGGCACTTAATTTATAATAGAATATTTTTATAAACACGCATGCAACATGAGAGCTGGGCGAGCCATCTCGTAACAAGCAGCTGGCTCAGCAGGTGTCTGCATTTCGGCAAACGATGCTTTTCCGTGGTCAGCTGTTTATGAAATAGAGACATTTCAGTTTTCTTCAGCTTGGCAATGAATTTGTACGACTTGCAGTGTCTGAAACCTTGGTAGCAGACAACGGCTCCGCTCCTTCCAGCTCATGATATCACACACCCTCTGGCAAAATGGCGGTCGCCGGCAGTGGGAGAGGCTCACAGCTGGCGACTTCTAGGGCTTGTTTTGCAATGAAACATCTTTTTAGGGCTCACTTTTAATGTCTTTATAGGCATAATAGGCCCTGTTCTTCTATACTTAGCTGAAAATCACATATTACTAGGTGACCCTGTTATGGTCCCTTGATAGAGCAAGAACTCTGAAGCCTAAGCAGTGAGGTAATAAATTTTTTCATTTCTTTATTTTTCAACGCACTGAATTTTCTTTATTTTTCAAAGCACTGTATTCTGCAGCAGTTTCTAAGGCTTCAATAAAAAGAACTCCACATTGAATTTCTGTCCATACAGCGCTTAACAAAATGATATCAACCCACAATTTGAAAGACTTGACTGTATTTTTGTTCTCATTTTCTTTAAAGGTGAAAAAAAAAGGAAAGAAGTGCACATTTTTCACAACATGCGGTACGAGCTCTCGGCAGACACAAGTGCTTTCAACCAACAGCTACACTCACTAAATTACTTAAGTGATAATGTCTGGATGCACAAACAATGCAACCAAGGCTATCTGCACAGCCGAATGATAGCGTACCTCAATATAAAAAACTAAGACGGCACAACCCATCCAATTTCATCCATTCCTCCACGTCTGTAGCATGGTACACTTAAAATTACAGCTCTAATTTTCTATCGCACAAATTTTCGCGCCAATCCTTCTTGTTTGCTTATTTCTTTCATGGTTCTTTCTGTGACTATTTGGTTAGCAAACTTCACAAACATGATGAATGCTGTTCTACAGTGCAGACCTGCCTCTTGAAAGTTGTACAAATACAGTCGAGCCCACATATAACGGCCCCACTTAAAACGAACTTTCGCTTAAAACGAACAATATCCGCGTGACCGTCAAAATATACATTGGTTCAATGGCACAAAATTGCACTTACAACGAACGTCTCCGAGCGCCGCTGATCGGTGACAGCGAATGGAGACAGGGGTCTGCCGACTTCCCGGGAAACCAATTTCGACCAACGATCAGGCATCGGCGAAGTGCCCATACGTTCTTATTGTTAAACACCGACCCTGCCTCCGTGACCCTCTAGTTGCCGCTCTCCCCAACCCATGGAAGAAGGAAAGCTGTTTCCTTCCTCCATGCCCCAACTGGTTTTTGTTAGGCACCCCTCCGTCCTTTGTCCCCTCCGCTACTCTGAGCACCCTGCATCGCCAGACGAGGCCCGTGTTTTCACATTGCCACCCGTCTTTCGAAGACCGGTTGGCCATCTAACCTGTTTTTGATCACTGGCACTGTCATTGGCGTCGCCAGCCTGGAGTGACCAGACCTTTTACCAACATCGTCGGCCATGGACTGTACCCGATATTCGGCGTCTAGTACACGTGGGTACACTACCCCACCGACTCTGATAATTTGCGATTCGTTTCGTGCTTAGGACTTGTTCTCGCTCACTTCGCCTTCGACTTAGCATGCCTTCCGCACGCGTGCGGAAGCGCAAAATTAGTTGTTAATTTGCGCGGAACGAATCGCGAAATATCTGAGTTCGTGAGGCTACGCCCACCCGCCGGCGCAACAAAACGATTTTTCACCACGGCCGCCGATTCTTCGAACACCGCTGCGCGCAGCACTCTTTCCAAGTTTTTTTGCGTGCGAGTTTCGTGGGCCTTTCAAGCAAGCTACCCAACGTGCCGCATCTTCCCGTGGGTTTTGGTTTTCAAGGTCGCTCTCCCGCCGCATCCTTCCCCCTCTTTATCGCAACTCCTTACCCTTATCTCGCAAGTCTGCTCTCCTTTCTTGATCATAACCCCTTTGCCCGTCTCCACCGCTCCGCGACGCCCGCCACGCTGGCTCGAAATAGTTTCGTTTTCTGACTGGAAAGAGGCCCAGAGCTGTTCCACGCGTTCTGGCATGTGTGTTGCGTGTGCGCGTCTTGCTCGCTCTTGGTGTGCGTGTGTGGTCATGGTGGCCGACAGGAGGACTAGCACGCTTTTTCCTGCCGCTCAACAGAACGTCTTAAGTGTGACCGCTTGGCTTGAGCGCAATTCGTGCGCTAAGTGCCGCGTTGCGGAGCGCTTGCTCATAGCTATCGACCACCTGGCAGCCAACTTGCCGCTTCGGACGTCCCGATATTCAGCTGAGCGTGGAGATGGTGAATATTTCGTGGGCGGCGGTGATGGCTACATGCGCGCGAAACTGTTTTCGCGAAGCCGACGACGTCGGGCCCGATGCTGAGCCAGAAGATTCCAAACTGCGGCGGCGATTTGTGGCAGCGCGTCATCGACTCCGACAAGAAAGAGCGGGTGGGACATCTGTTGCGGTGGTTTAATTACGGCCGACGATGAGGCCGACACTGCGAAACCGTGCAGGGATTAGGGCATTGTGAATGAAGTACGTGGCAAGAACGATTTGGAGGAATTGGATAGCGAGAACGACGAAACTTTGGAGCCAGTGCCTCATGCAGCTTATGCTACGGGCCTCGGCAAACGAGCACCCTGCCGTTTTAAATGAACACGAGACCGCCCTTATTGCTTCTGCTCTTCGAAACACATGCATCACAGACTTTTTGGGGCAAGAAAAGTTTGCGTTTCCTCTCACAACTTTTTTAAAAGCTGTGTTTCATTTACTACGAGCTTCGGGATACAGAGAACGAATGCCGTGTCACGTTCAGATTCGTTATAAGCGGGCTTGACTGTATTACAAAGAATAACAAAGTTTTTGAGAACAGTCTACAAAGAAGCATGGTCAAGCCACATTGGTCAAGCCACACATGGTCAAGCCACATTAACATGGTCAAGCCACAAACATGGTCAAGCCACATTAATAAAACATGCTCATCTGCTTCTAGAAAGCTCGGTTTTTTGAGACACAAATTAAAAACAGCGCCCTCAGAAATCAAAATGTTGGCCTACAATGCTTTTATTAGACCAAAGTTAGATTATGCTAGTGTCGTTTGGGACCCACATATAAAGAAAGATGTTAAGAAGCTTGAGATGGTGCAGCGAAAGGTGGTTCGCTTTATCTTTAATGCCTACCGCAGAAATGACTCGCCAACATCGATCATTGCTATTAATGATATCCCCACTTTACAATACCGAAGAGCTGTTGCCCGGCTGAAATTTCTACACTCACTTTATTTCCGTAAATTTAACATTTGTCCAGAAACTTATATAAGAAATCGAATCTCAAGACAAACTCGACATACTCACAGCTACACTCTTGAACCTTACTTCGCACGTACTAATCTTTTCATGAACTCATTCTTTCCTCGGACGATCAATGATTGGAACGCGTTACCTTTTGAAGCATTCTGTGATAATGAAAATCCTGACTTCGATAACTTTGTATCTTTCCGTTTTTAACCGTACAACTCAAGATCTCGGACTGTCTCACGTTGTATTTGATTTGCATTCTCCGGTTGCAATTTGCAATTTCTTGCTGCCATTTAACTTTGTTCAAATGCTATCCTGTGTTCTACTGCCTTAACATGTTTTTATTGCTTGAACTTTCTTTTGTGTTACATTGTGAATCACTTTTTATTATGCCCCCCTGCTTGGTCTTTCGACCGCAGTATTCTGTAAATAAAAAAAGCAAGACGACTATGCCGTTTGACTTTTAAACAATTACATCCCTTGCATTGAATAGATGCACACACTTGCACCTGTGTACTGGCTGGCGAGGTATCCGATGTGTTAATTTGCTTTCACTGACCATTATTGCATTAAAACAAAATTACAAGCAAAAATTCATTTCACCGTTTTTAATTCTAGCTCTAAATCTTAAACCCTCACTAGAGGAAATTACACAACAAGGTCACTTCGACGGTTGCATTCAGTTTCTGTGGAAGTCAAGTAAAGTGACTTCAGTACACCCCATATGTAGGTATGGCAGTAGAAAATAGAAACAATTGGATGATTCTGGTATCAAAAAGAGAGAGATGTAAGCAATTACCTTTTTCGTTGTTCTTTATTGCTCAGGAATGCTGACAGCAAATTTTCGTACAGACTTGTCATCGGTGGCAAAGTGTGAGAAGCCACATCCAGAAGCTGTGGCAGAACAAAGTTCAGTGGTTGAGCCAATCAAACAATTTCTCTCAGCTTTTTCATATGTGTTTTTAGCTAAGCTACAATATTCAAACAGAGATCATGAACAAGCACTAGTGGCAAAGGGCTCTGTGAATCAAGCCAGTTATCTCTGACACTAAATGAACAAGACAACTCGTCCAGAAGGTGCTATCCAAATAAGCTAGATGACTTAGGACTAAAAAATAACAATCTAGAGAAACATAAAATAGGTAGTGAGGTTGGCTCACAAGGTGAGCTGGCACGTAAGCTCAAAATATCGTACGCACCTGGCGTACTTCTCGAAAGCCAGAAAGTCCCAGCCTGTGCTGTTCAGGGGCCTCGGTTGCCACAGCTGACCGGGTCTCTTGAGCCACCAGAGCGCCAAATGGTGTGGGAGGCACCACAGACTCCAGTTTTAGAGACTAAAAAATGAAGACAATAAGACACGTTTTAGCTAGGAAGGAACATCCATTAATCTCAAAGTAAAGATTCTACAAGGTGCCAGCATTTGTTTGTGAATCCTCTTGCATTTAACAGATGTCTCAGAGATCTGTTCTCACAAAAATTTTACAGTGACAGGAAGTTATACTTATTTTACTTAGTTTTTACGTTATAATAGTATGTGTCAACCTGAATGAAGGCTTTTGCAATTTGTAATATTAACCTTAGGGGTTTGACGTCCCAAAAACCTCTCGCATTTATAGTATAAATGATGAGGAGGGAAAAAATGAAGGAAAAAGCAACGCAAAAGTGCACACGGGAACTTTTTGAGGTAAAAACAGGCGCACTAATCTGACAACTAAAGAATAAGGGCACAACCATCAAGGGCATTGTTTGTAAGAGAAATTTGAGAATGCTGTCAAGAGCCCTCCGATTCACATTGTTCAGTGTTACGGGATGAGCATTTTTTGAAGAGCTGTAGCGACAGCTGCCAACAACCTTTACGCTCCGCAGATGACAGAACCATTTCTGTAGAGAACTCTCACTAGAATTGCTAAGTTTCATATGGAACTGCACACACATACGACCAAAGTCGGCCTCATCTTTTCACAATGAAGCTGTTTACGCTAGCCGTAATTTGTCTGAGCGGTCTGCCACAAAAAACTACCCTCATTATTGAGTATGCGCCGCAGAAATTGGGTAAGTCCCACTACTCACAACTGGTGCACTAAAAATGAAACAGGCATCAGTTGGTTGAACAAATGGCTGCGAAGTTATGGCAGCAAACGGAAGACCCCTAGTATTTACTAAGAAATAATGCCAGGAAACGGGACTTGTGCATGACGACGGGGACGCAGTTCGTGCCTCGGGAACTGCGGCCGTTAGTTTTCCTGGTCGGTGGGTCCGGAACGGCGACGCATACGGCAAAGCGAACGTTGATGTGGAGATGGGGAGCGGCGGGTAGGGCCCAGTGGACGATCAGATGGAAAGGAAGAGGAAGGAGGGCTTGAAGGCGTAAAAGAAAACTGAGGGTCGAATGAGGGCATTTGTCGAATGTTCTGAGCAGCCTGGCGACGACGACAATAACGTGCCACGTGGCTAACACCGCCACAAGCAAAACATATCGGACGGTTGTCGTAGGTCCGCCATTGGTCGGAGTAGACTCTGACTTGCGGCTGGGGGGCAGAAAACTGCGGCCGAGGTGGCATCGGCATAGGCGGCGGTGAATAGGTCGGCGGCGAATATATAGGCGCTGGCTGGAACGCAGGCTGTCGAGGTCGAGCAACGGCCTCGGCGTACGTGAGAGGTGCGGCGACTGGCGGCGGTTCACGGGCGGGAGGAAGAACTTGTGCGACCTGGTCTTGAATGAGGTCGCGGAGTGTAGACGTCAATTTGCGTGGTTGATCGGGTACGCAGGACATCAAAGAGAGCTGACAAGCGACCTCAGCACGAATGAACTCTTGGATCTTGGAGAGAAGAGGAGCATGGTCTTCTCCTATGGCAAGGGTGGACAGGCTGGACAAAGAGTCGTCGAGCACCGAGGGACGTCGGGTGGAAAGACGTTGCCTGCGCAAATCGTCAAAACTCTAGCATAACTCGGTCAGTTCGAGGACTCTTAGAAAGCAACATTTGAAAAGCGTCGTCCTCAATGCCCTTCATGATGTGCTTGATCTTAAGCTCTTTGAACATCGACTCGTTGGCTCGCTTGCAAAGGTCTAGAACGTCCTCAATATAGCTTGTGAAATTCTCACCTAGCTGCTGGGACTGAATATGCAAGCGTTGTTCGGCACGGCGTTTGCGTACCTCAGGCCGTTCGAAAACTTGTGTGAGGCTCGTTTTGAAGACAGACCATGTAGGAAGTTCCGCCTCGTGATTTATAAACCACAGCTTGGCCCCGTCAGACAGGTAGGAGGAGACGTAGGCCAACTTGGTGGCGTCATCCCATTTGTTGTGAGTACTCACTCGCTCGTACATTGAAATCGTCATCAACGTCCTTGTCTTCTGTGCCTGAGAAAACAGGAAGATCTCGCAGACGCAGAGAACCGGCGCAGAGAACAGTAGGTGGTGCCGGTGGAGGAGTTCGAGCGGCGCTTGCGTCGGTAGGCATAATGAACTGTAAAATGCGATTCCGAAGCTCCAGGGTGATCGAAACCCAGCAGACTCCACCACTTGTAACGGGGCTTATTTGCAGCGCAGAACGCAAAAAGCGAAGCAGTCAGCAGCGTCCGGCCAAGCGCAGCAAGCACGAGCTTATGCTGATGGCGATGCCCCTGATGCGCCTAGAAATGCCGCTGAAGCTCCTCTTCTTCACTACACTCTGCTCGTTCCATGGGAGTTAGCTGGATTTGCAATTCGTAATATTAACCTTAGGGGTTTGACGTCCCAAAAACCTCTCGCATTTATAGTATAAATGATGAGGAGGGAAAAAATGAAGGAAAAAGCAAGGCAAAAGTGCACACGGGAACATTTTGAGGTAAAAACAGGTGCACTAATCTGACAACTAAAGAATAAGGGCACAACCATCAAGGGCATTGTTTGTAAGAGAAATTTGAGAATGCTGTCAAGAGCCCTCTGATTCACATTGTTCAGTGTTACGGGATGAGCATTTTTTGAAGAGCTGTAGCGACAGCTGCCAACAACCTTTACGCTCCGCAGATGACAGAACCATTTCTGTAGAGAACTCTCACTAGAATTGCTAAGTTTCATATGGAACTGCACACACATACGACCAAAGTCGGCCTCATCTTTTCATAATGAAGCTGTTTACGCTAGCCATAATTTGTCTGAGCGGTCTGCCACAAAACACTACCCTCATTATTGAGTATGCGCCGCAGAAATTGGGTAAGTCCCACTACTCACAACTGGTGCACTAAAAATGAAGCAGGCATCAGTTGGTTGAACAAATGGCTGCGAAGTTATGGCAGCAAACGGAAGACCCCTAGTATTTACTAAGAAATAATGCCAGGAAACGGGAAAGGCAACGGCAGCTGCGAGAAGACAAGCAATATGGGGTATGCGTCAATGACGATGTGCCTGTAGATCTACAAGAGGGGCGAATTCTCAGTTTCTGTGCGAGGTCCCGTCTCAGGGGTTTGGACATCCACGCAGTGTCAATGACCGTCTGTGGTTTAACTCGAGCCTCTCTGTGCTGAGAGTTGTGGGGGTGCTGACACCCCCTGTAAAGTTGTTTGCGCCGCGTGGCGCACGTGTTTCGCACAGAAGCCATATTTCGGGGGTGACAATTATTGAGCGATAGGTGGCGTGTTCGCGAGCGGTGATCACCGCTATCATCATCATGGTTGGTAGAGCGGAAGCTCCGGCGGTGACCCCTGGCGGAAGGCAAGCCTTGGTGGCGGGCGAGAGAGTTGAGAGAGTCTCTTTTGGCGTGGGGCGGTGGCGCGGACGGTTGCCTCCAGCGGTGGGTCTACCATGGACGGCACTGCGGACTGTCTGTGGTGGGCCCACGTGGTGAGTCAGGCATTAGCGACACCGCCTTGTTTGACATGTTGTTGAGTGTTGTTTACTATTGTGTAAGGATGTCCTTAGTGTGTTAATTACAATTGATGTACAATAATTCGGCTGATATCGTCGTTCTAAAGCAGTGAAATAAATGTGCGTATTGTTGGCTTGGTTTGTCCCGACCGCGTCTGCTGTGTCCGTTCACCCTAAGAGCGTGACGGTCTCGCCATTTCAAGATCCCACAGAGTCAATGTTTAGAAACAACCCAGCATCGCCTGCTTAAATCCTAGCAACGACCTAGAAGCAACAATATTCAGCTGAAGTGCATTTAAGAAATGAGACTCGGCACTCGAAATACAATTAAGTGACAGAACGCTGCCACTGCTTCCGTTGATATGTCTGCTACAAGGCAGGTGACGGTGCATTCAACCAATGTCTTTACCACAGCAGCCCATGCAAGCCTGGAGGCTACGACACTACGTAACCATCACGCTAGCAGCAGTATACATAGGATGCCAAGCCAGACAGTGCCTTTGTACATTTATAGCTCAGTGGGTGACAAGTGCCATCAGGGACTGGCTGGTTTACCAGTGACCTGACACACAAAGCATATAGTACAATGACTAGTCTAGGCAAACCTTCTGGCTTGTTGTCAGGGGCTTTTAAAGAACGCTCTTAATTTCACGACTTATTAGAAATGAGCAAGTATTAGAATTTTCAAATACTTTTTGAAAAGTGTTTGATATTAGATTCGATTCACAGCAAAATTTTACTATGCAAACTTACCAAAGACAACAGCAGTAACTGTTTGATTGACAATGACCCCTTCAAACTTTTGCAATATGCTTCACCCCATCACACAATCGTGTCGCAGCAAAGCTGCCTTTTACACTGTGCTGCAATATGGTAAGAGGAACTTCATCTAAAGATCTAAAAAAGTGCCACCTTTTTGCGCGACACCACGGGCCTCTATGATTGCAAATTTAATAACTCAAAATAAAGTTGGTTTCAATGTGAAGATGATAGATGCAGCAGACATACCTACAATTAAGTTTTTGCATAACCTCACTCTTGATAAGCTTCATCAACCTTGCCAAAAGAAACACTTCCATTTTGCCATCTCATAAAAGTAAGCTTACAAGTCCTCTCCAAATTTCTTGCAATTTCACTTCGAAGAGTTAAAAAATTTGATAAACATTCTAAAAATATTCTGTTCGATTTGCACTCAGACTTCAATATTGCAATTTGCTTCGCACACAAAATTTTGCTATTCCCACAGCTTTATTAATTAATGTACAAAAACAGAAGTACGCCTACTTATTTTTATTTCCACTAGATGCTGGGTGTAGTATTCAGATTTGCCACAACTAGTGCACACTAGTGTGCAATATACATTTTCAAGCCCACGCAACAACATATCAGGTCATGAGGTCCTACTGTATATATTAAGGCTTTCGAAGTTTATAAAATAGGGCATCTCAGAAAGTGCCACATTATTTCTGCATCTTCAGCTGAAGTGCATTTAAGGAATGAGGCTCGGCACTTGAAATGTGCTATTGCATATCTATAGCTTTTTGTTTAGGGCTGTATGCTCACGACTCTTTGGTCAGCTGGACTGTAATAAAGCTGTGTAAAATAAGTTTTACTGAAATGGACCCACACTGCTTACAACAACATTTCTCATATGTAAATTACGCGCATGAAGATACTAGTTGGCAGTATTTGGAGAGAAGGATTGAATCTTGATACAGCCAAAATTTCTAGTGAGTACAGATTCACTGCATCAAGAGCAGGAGTGCTATGTACCTGATGTGCCATCGTAACTTCCTTTTCCTTGGTGTCATCTACCCAGGAATAGAGTTCCTATAACAAAGAAAAAAAGAACATAAAAAAATAAGAATGATAATATAGGACAGCATACTACACTTTCACAAACACATGTGAAGTGCCTGCTGACACTTAAGGTCATTAGAGAATTGAGACAACTAGTTAGTGGTGACTGCACTAAGCATTCAAACCACATTAAAAAACACATGCTTATTAGAAGCTATTCCACGCAGGAGACATGAGTTACAAAAGTAAGTTGGGCTATCTTTTTTTTTTTCTTAGCCAAGTCAGATGAAACCGGCAAATATTTGATCACTTTCCTGATGTGGATTTAACTATTTCGTTACAGTAGTTACAAGGCTCAAGTAAATCCAGAGATAATTAGCAATCAGATTTTTTTGTTTGCGAAAACAGTGAGATATATAAATCTAACATGGCTTCAATTTCATTATCACATGGATGTATGCTAACATGGACAAGGAGGAAAAATCCAAAAAGTAAACTTGAAATGGATGGCTCAGTGAAGTTCAGTGTTTGCAATGAACTATTAAAGGGCCCCTAAACAACCACCGATAAATTTTGCCATTTCAATTAAACATGTGCATTGAGTTCAGAATGCTGTCACAATTAGCAATGGCAAATGCAGCAGTGCTGCGACCCGTGGGTGCAGCCCAAAATACAAAATGAAGAACAATCCTTTGTCCTTTCTAGGCCTTTCAACATCCCCAGTGTTGGCCGCTACGACAACACTTTCGTCTGGTCACGTCAGGAACGGAAAGAACATGCTTGTCTGCTCGCAGGTACGGTTGTTGGACACTCTTCCTCTTCACACAGTGAGGAGGATCACTTGGCCAGAAGGAGAGACACGATGACAAAAGGAGTGTACCGCAAAGGGAGTGAGGGCCACTTTGGGATCATCAAACGTGTGTAATTCCATTATTATGACATCGTTTCAAAACAAAAATTCTCGTGGCTACATTTTTATTAAAGACTTGTGTGTGACTACAACACCACTACTAATTTCAACTCTGAGCAGTTAAGGGGTCCTTTAAAACTGAAGTAGTAGAAGCATTTGAAGCTGTAAATGCTGCACCTGCTCTTTGCTGAGAAAGCAGAGCCGCTGCAAGGCATCACCAGAGTCTGAGCCACTGGGCAAAAACGTGGCTGCTCTGACTGGCTGGCATTCGGCAGGGACATCATTGGTCTGTACAGAGTCCTTGATCCTTGGCTCAAACAGGAGCACTGCAGCGGCAACACAGAGCGAAAGACGGTGAAGATTGCAGACTGAGAGCAGGTCATCACAGTGGGCAACAAAAGCATTACATTCACTCCGCTATTTGCAGAGCAACTCACTTGAGTCGTTGCTGCAGAATGCTGCCACTGCTTCCGTTGAGACGTCCGCTACAAGGCAGGTGACGGTGCATTCAAGCTCCCACAGTACTGCACAAAAAGGCAGTACACACAAGTGAATTCCAGGGGTCAAACATGATCAAATTGCTTTCGTCCCCGACACATTCTTAATTATTTGATTCAGAGCTGTTTCGCATTTTCCACTGCGCATTTCAATTAATCTGAATTCATGCAAACTGCTCAGTCTTGCACCACATGACAGTTTGAGCTATACTAGTACAGTGCAAGATGTTTGTTTCCAACAGCTTTATCAAGAAAGTGGTACTGACAAGAAAAGTTTCAATTCTCGTTTACTATCGTCCAATCAAAGGACAAGCCTTGAAGAGAACAATCTATAACAGCTCAGGTAATGGCCCACCTGTGAGGCAGATGATGTCCCACACAATCAGCTTTACTTCTGTGCATGTTGTGAGGAGGTGAGAGGAGGCGCCTTGACCAAAACACAGTTCCCTGCGAGTACAGATTGACATTTCAACAAGGGCAATCCACTGCAGCTCAAACTTGAGTAAAGCAATATACAATATTGCTTTTGCCTCCAAATAGAGGTCTTACATCTGATATATAAAACATGTCACCTACAGTATCCACAGCATGCCTGTGGCCAGTGCACACAGACATGGTTATCACTTGCCACAATCCTTGTGGACGAAGCCACGGTCGCTATTGACGTGATCATGTATGGCGACAATGAAACTTCAAAAACAGAGGTGCATCCAACACTTATGGAGTTATTCATCCTGCATGCAGCAACAGCATGCAGACAAAACCACTGCTAACGCAATCATTGCTATACTCGGCGACAACTTATACTGATATGGAAATGAAGGCTACGTAGGCAAGGCATCCACACATTCTTGTTGCTCTGCAAGTACTAGTAGGCAACTTGTGGCCGGCGAGTTCGCATCGTCAACACGTTTACACAATTATATACACGTAAATGTGAATAGGAGAAACATTTCGATGGTTCAGTGTAATTTCTGGTGCCATATGACCGGTATATATATATGTTCTTTTAGAGCAGCAGGCATGTGCTTCGCTTCTGTAGCTTCCACAGTGCTGCCAAAAAAAAGTTATTGAATATAGCAACGACGTAGTTTTGAAGGCACTTGCACGGCAAGCACACAGTTTGAAAACAGAACTACTGTTAGCTGCAACTGCTGTGCACAAAGCCTCAATGACTAACAGCCCGATTATAGACAGCGACAAACGATGCCAATTACACAGCTCCAATTGTAGGTGGCTAATGTAGCAGTAGATTAAAGATGATAAAGCCATAAAAAACACGGAAGTTTTTTGGCACTTCTGTCATTTATTTATGACCATGGTTAAGAAATCCTCAAGTGAAGTATTGACACCTGTGTTCGTAGCAGCCAGCTATGCCATCCTAACTGGTCTGTCTGTCTGTGTCCCAGACAGACATACAGGAATTCTTTTGATGGGCACAATAGCTTTGTGCGTATATCATAGTATGAAAACCGATTTTGCTAGCTTTTGTAGGAATGAAATTTTGGCCGCTAAGAATATTTTTGCTCCTCCTTTACACTCATATATCCGAGATTTTACTGTATCTTTAACTTGGAACACTTTGTTGAACCTTACTGAATTCTATACAGAGCAAGTAAACAAAACAGTAGTAAAGCATGGTATAGTAAACAGTAGTTTGCCATCCACTGTAGTGCTGCCAAACATCTGCATAACATGGCCATAAAATATAAACTTGCAGGCGATCATGAACGAATCTCTCAGTGCCTTTACAGAGAAAGATGAAACAAGTATTCTCACTCATCTCTTATTCATGGTCTACACTAGTGCAATTAAAATGCAAACAATGCAACTATTTTTAATGCTCTGCATCACATACTTGGGAACAAATCTTTCATTCACATTTCTTTCTTTTATCAGATGACTACTCAATCATTCAAGTAGCCAATAAATCTATTAAAACTGGTAGCAGAAGGAGTGGCATTATCTGTGTGGCAAATAATACCTCATATTATCTTACTTTATAAAACATATAGAAAAGAAGTGGCTGACAGATAACCAGATCTCACAAAGCCAAAACTGGCCTGAAGTTGGCTACGAGACTGGCCACCAAAAATAAGAGAAAGCAGAGAGGACGACAGAGAGAGAGAGAGCCGAGGCGAGGTATGTAGGTACAGCCCAAAGACTGCCGGTGACACTCACGTGATGCTGGAAGGGCACTGAGGGTGGGCCAATGCAGCCCTCAGGGCACAGTCCTCAGACCAGAGTGTTGCTGATCGGCCAAAGCCGACTGCCAGCAGTGAGCCATCTTGGGAAATGGAGCCCTTGCCAGCTACAAAGCCTCTGAAGGACCCCGAGCCAATGCAGTTCCACGAGCTCACATGCACTGCCGACGAAAAGGAGGAAGAGGCAACACGGTAAGCAAGCCTGATGTAGCAGCAACCTTTAGAAGCGGGCTAAGGAAATGCTTTTTACCCCAGTACCCTGCCCACACAATTACAAAGTGGCTACCGTATTTACTCGATTTTACCGCGCACCCGATTTCCACGACGAAAAAAAAAAAGAAAAAAAAACTTAAGACATCGATTGCAACGCGCACCCATTTTTCTCGCTGGCCCGCACGATCACACCACTCGAAAAAACGGCTCCTTTCGGGAGCGTCTTCCATTTAAATATGAGGTACGGCGAAGCTTGTGCCCATCTGACGTGTAACAGAGCATTGCCGTCACTGTATTTTTACCGTGGACCGATGTCAGCACGTGAACTTGCTTCGCCCCCTTCTTCTCGACAGTTGTGGTGCCAGGCATGTCAAAGTAAAGAGGCGTCTGATCGGCATTCCAGATTTGCCCAAGCAGGTAGCCGTTGTTGTGCCGCAAGTTTAGGACGAACCTCTGAAAATTGTGAAGCTTTTCATCGTACTCCTCCGCAAAACTTTTCGCATATGCCCGGACGCCTTCGAAGGGAAAAGCTTTTCCTCTTCATAAAGTTAGTTAGCCAGCACCTGCTCGCTTCAAACTTGCTCCGCATCAGCCCTTTTTCTATTCTAAGGCTAACTGCATAGCCCGCACTTGGAGCAGTTCTGTCGTCACGGGCCGACGTGTTGCTCGCTGCTCAAGCACATACTCGCCGAGCAGCTCTTTAAATTGCGGAAACCGACCTTGCTGTGGTCCACTGAAGCCTTTGCGTGAAGCTTTGCTGTCGACAATCTTCTGCTTTTGTTTCCGCCAGTCCCGCACGCACGTTTCGGGAACTCCAAACGACCGCGATGAAGCCCGATTTACGTCCGTTTCGGCACACGCGATGACTTTTCTTTTAAAAGCGGCACTGTGGTGCACTCGTCGAGTTTTTGGAGTCGGCCCTTCCATGCCGTCGATGCTAATGCACACCAAATGACAAACTCCTCAGCACACGTACGAAGTGCCGCACATGGGAAACACATAGGCAGAAATGGCCGACGCGCCATGCCGACACACGTAGGGGGCGGCCATTTCGGAATGCCGATGGCAATAGAACGACCGTATTCATTTTTTTTTTTCGTACTCGATTCTAACGCGCATGCAATTTATGAACTCGCTTAACCGGAAAAAAGGTGCACGTTAGATTCGAGTAATTACGGTATTTTGCAATGTCCTAAAGCGACACATAAAGTATCAAAGGCATTAAGCGGTCAAAAACTGGCAACAGCGTGAAACATAAAAAAATGACAGAGACAGACAAAACACTTGATTAGTCTCCGTCACTGCCCTGCATTTTGCGCTGTTTTTCATTTGCTTTATTATGAGTCAACTGGCCTAAAAAAGCACTCTAGCACTTATGTGGTGGTAGTTCCAGCTCAGCTTTCATGACATCCTTTTACCATTCTGCCCACAAAATTTGTTGTAGGCAGAATAAAAAATCTTCTTTTCTTGCTTTCTTTTTGTCAGTGGTGTTCTAATCCTCCTCTGCCGTAGCAAAAAATGGCTGCCTTATTTGAAATTGTATGTTTTTTTTTCTTAAATTCACACAAAAGTATCACAGTAACATTTTATGTAACACATAAAAACAGACTAATTCTGCTTTGCAGGTATTACTATTGGGCTGAGACATTATCCTCATGTCACATTGCCACACGATAATGAAACGGTATGCACCTTGGCTCTGCAAAGCGGCTGCTGGCCCATCAGGAACTGCTACCTCATTCTGTGGTGCCCAGAGACGAAACTTGCGGTCGTCACCTGTTGTGAGGGCAAGGAAGGTGCCGCCACTGCTTTCGCTGCCCGGATTATACAGCTGCAGGTCTTTCAGGGGGCCATTGTGCGGTGCGTAGACACTTGTGTCCAGGACAAAGCTGTCAAGGATAGAGCGGGGATGGCAGGAACAGGCTTTACAGAGGGCCCGTGGAGACCTCACAGGGGTGCATTGTGCATTCGCTCCTCTCATCAAGGGACAACAAAAACAGAAAGTTCCCCTTCTAGAGAATGGCAATGAACACATAACTTATCAATAAAAAAGGGATTTCAAGTGCATAGTAGTCGAAGGCTAATGCTCACGGGCAAGCACATGTGGGAAGATTCAAAGGTAACAGTTGCCATGCACCACGAATTGACTGTAGCAACAATCAAACCAACCCCCCCCCCCCCCCCCCCAAAAAAAAAGCAAACACGCAGCAAACTACAAAACAATTCCTTGAACCAATATACACCAATTGGAGAAAAGTTGTCCGTAGTAAAGAAGACAATTCCTCAAGCCACATGCCACATTTTGGTAGCACACTGATAAGTGCAGGTTTCCGTGCCTACAGAGGATTTCTCAAAAATAATTTTTCAGATTTAGTTGAGCCAGTGTTACTGAAACAGAACAAAAACACATTGATCCGGAACACCAGGCACGGAGATTTCGACGTGTAATTTATTAGTCAAACTTTGAGTGTGATTTTATCCACTATTAATAAATTTATTACAGTAAATTTAATGATATTAGAGTCTCTGGCGCAGAGTTTATAAAACATATGATGGTGAATTTAGCAATATTAGAGCTCTTGAAATAAAATTTATCAAGATAAAATGATTCATTGTTTCACTTCAGTGTCCCTTTATGTTTTTCAAAACACCAGATGGTCAAAATTTTCAGAGCTTTCTACTATGGCATCCCTCATAACCATATTGTGGCTTTGGGACGTAAAACACAAACAATTATTATTAATATTATCATTATTATAACACAAACCAACTCACTTCTGGAGCACATGGTCAAAACGCCAGAACTTCAGGCGAGTCTCAGGGCCTAAGTTGCCATCAGCCCAGTGCTCGACGGTGACGAGCCAGTCATCAGCAAGGGCAGCGAGGACCACCTCTGTGTTGACAATGCCGCCCTCGCGTTCTTGGGTCATGTAGTTCTGGCCCACCACGTCCAGCTGCAGGGATCGTGCATACATTTTTATTCACGCCAACCTGGTGCATCAATTCATTCATACTGTAGAAAATGCAGTCATGTGACACATTTTTTGTTAGGTATGTCCAGTATCATTGACGACAAACCGCAGCGAAGGAGGCCAAAATTTTTAGACTCTCAGAAAGTTTATCACATCCATAAGTGCAGACGTCAAGAAAAAAGGTTGTCAATATTTAGGAAGAAATTTCATAATTTGCATACTATGTAATCTTTCAGGACGACTGTGCAGTAGTCACCAGCTTCCGAGCTGATGGACAGAAGAGAGATAAATCAGTTTTATTGAAACTTGAGACATTTTTTTAACAGTGTTACTGCACAACTACTAACATTTTTAAATGCAGTATTGTCATCACTCAACACCTGGCAACACGCTGGTTACATTCAACATAGAGTAGCCAATTGGTGTCATGGCCATTTTTTTTTAACCTTTTGACCAATCTTGAACCACATTGACAGAAATATGCTGCCAAGTGTATGCAGGGAGTTGCAGTACAAATGAAAAGCCTTGACTGCTTTTTGGTTTCATGACAGCAGCTTTACACTACCCTATAATGCTAGGGGGAAGGGAAAGGCTGATCTACTAACGCAGAAGAGCTGCTTGTCTTCGTGGGGTTGGTAGAACTGCAAATGCCCTGGCAGTCCTCGTAGGAGCAGGGCACTGGAGCGGGGGTCGTGAAACAACAGCTCACGTGCGGACCCTTGACTCAGTGCAAGCCCTTGCACTTGCTGAACCACATTCATCTGGCTGCTCACCAACCGCAGACCTAGAAGACAGAAGGTCAACAAAACCCTTAGGAACAGAGTTTGTTGTCACCCTTGTGCTTTAGGTGAAGAAAATCGCAGTGATGTAAAAGCTCAAGTACTTTACTCCAACAGGCAGAGAATGACCAATGGGAGTATACGACCAGACCAGAGAAAAAGCCCATTTCCTCAGCACATTAACACTTTACATAAATGAGCTATATATGTAAATGTAGTAGCGCTGCTCTAATGTTGTAAGTGCAGTAAAGACACAGCATTGATGGTAATGATAAGTAAATAATGACAGCAGGTAAATTTAAAGTGTGCGCATCAACCATCTGCTACGCCCTACACATTGCTTCCAAAGATAGTCCGTACTGTGTATACGAAGGCCATGCCCAGATCACGACTGTACATCCCCGCTCGTTGCTCAAACGTTCTTTACATTGTAGCCGCCTCAGAACAGAACTCAGCGACAGTGGACGATGGATTCCGGAACAAAGTAGCAAAAAGTTCCTGTTTTATGCTTCACATTAGATGGCAAAGCTTTTTGTCTCTATCCATGTCAGGATCTGCTTGGTGGAAGAGACGGGTCATGTCCTCTACATACATGGCCAAACTTTCACCTAAAATTCACTATTCACACAATCCTAATTTCAGCACAAGATGGCAGCCTCCTGGTTTTCGAAAGCCATTAGTGCAGAATCCTCTAACGCAAAGTAAACACGTTGTAGCTTGCCAGCACCATCCTAGTCATTCATGTTGTCTAAAAAGTGCAAAGATGCAACCAAGTCTCGTTGGCTACAGTTTTGGCCATGTGATTTTTGTTGGCAACACGTGTCATATGAATGCCATTTGCATTTGCTACGAGCCAGTAACCGTTCTCTTTGTTTCCATTCTGTGATGGCATTTACTTTGCCTTTGTTTTTGTGTTGTTGTGTGTGGCAGTCTCAATTGCAAGGGATTCAGTTGCCCTGAGGTGTTCGTTCTCCCCTTCGGCTCCCCTTGAAATGGGAACATGTGCTCATTACGACGACCGTTTCAAAATGCGTGCTACTGCGACTGCTGAACAAATCAACTGCTGCCCAAAAGCTCGACATGAGCAAGGCAACGATTTGCTAGTGATGGCTTCAGCAAGAGCTTCTTTCCAGGCGTGAGCACGGCTGAAAAGCTTTCTGCGGGTGTCGTCAGGCCACCACATTGAATTGAAGTAGCCTGTTGCTCATTTTATCACAGAACAGTGCAACTGCCATATGGCAGTGTTGAACTGACACAGTTGAAAGAGAGCGATGATGCTTGGCAGATCGGCATCCTGTGAACGAAGTTCAGCACATCATGTGGGTTGGCGTATAATACCACAGTTTGAGACAGTGAAAAATAGTAGAGCTGTGGAAACAGCAAAATTTTGAATGTGAAGTGAACTTGAATATTGAAGTGTTGAGAGTGCAAATCGAACTGCATATATTTCGGACAATTCTAGTGGTGGGAATGCCCTTTATAATTTTGGAGCAGCCCTTGGAGCAGGCAAAATCTTTTGCGGCAGCTAGCTCTGTGTTTGGAGCAACCACGAGCTTTCAGGACACACAGAGAAAAAAATTAGCTTTCCTTAGTTTTACCAGCTTCTAGCTCCAATTTTTCTGAGCTCCATTTTCTCAGGTTTCATTTTTTGAGCAGTTGCTGTCAGTCATCCCTGTGCCATTTCACAACAAATTAAGATATAGCCATTCCATTTCCTGCACTTGGATTCTGAGACACGGGTAAGTCCCATAAAGCTGTCTATATTTGTGTGCACATCATAGAGACATTTGTAATTGGCTTTTTGTAAAAGTTGTCGGTAAAACAATCTGTCCAGAACATTTCAGAAAAAATTTTGTGTGCTTGCTTAAATATTAAAAATAAACCAATAGCATTACGGTTTTGGTTTCGTTTCCACGTGCAGGCAATTTTTGGACTCTATTTATTGGTAGTAAGATGCACATTGGATACAATTCTTTTTAAACTTAGAATAGAGATTCGCTCGCACCTTCTTCTACAAAGTTACGCCGCCATTAGCTGTCCCTGACAAGAATAATTTAATCTACCTTTCTAGCAAAAGCACAAGGTCGTGTCGTGAGCTTATTCAGGCGGTCTATACCACCCATTTTTTTGGGCAAGGCTGAGTGTCACTGCTATATTCTTAGTTTTTCGATTATACGACGGTTTTACGTGGTCCCCTGAAAGTCGTATAATCAGGGTTCCACTGTATTACATAGCTCAAACCCAATTTGAGTTATGATATCAGCACAACAAGCGACATCTGCGTGCCAAATTTCATTTTTTTAGCTTCATAAATAACAAAGATAATTTTCATTGCCTCGTCCCCCCTTAAGTGAGCCCCCACTTTTGCCCCATCTATCACTTCCATGTCGGAACCAGGGTTTTCTTGAGTGAATACATCTGCGACCGTCTTCAGGGAAGCCTGAAAAGGCAGTTTTGCTGCAATACGAAATTGTAATAAGGCGACACATATTTACCTAAATGGGTCACTTTCGATCTCACGTTGACTATACTTGTGTTGAAAACTTTGAATAAGTCCGAATAGTAAAATTCCAGTGTAAACTGAATCCAATAGCTATCACCCCCTTTTATTATGTCAATGCAGGGGACGGGTTTCCACTCCCCCCGTCCCCCCTATGCGCACATCTATGACCAAGTAACCATTTGCATTTCTTTACGTGCGCTATCGCCGCTAAAGAAAAAATAAGTACAGTGCCACAGCTAATATTTGCCTGAAGTACCCACCATTCAGCCATTTCTCTTTTTTTTTCTCTAATGTTCAGAAATGATTGGCATTATCGCACAACCGTCCGATGACACACGGTGGCAACACCAAAGAGCATTTCGAAACTACTGCGGAGTCTAGGATAGCCAGCCAATGCAGTGACTGGCATAGCGACAAAACGAAAATAGTCAGCTGTCTGTGATAAATATGTACTGCTGCTATTTAGCGAAAACTGACACAGATTTTTTTAGACACGGCACGGTCGCAGGGAGCCGATCGTCTACTGGCTAGTTGCGTGCAGCACACTGCCTACTCGGTGTACACACTTCGCTTCAGACCGTGCACAGATGCAGCGAGAAGCCTGTTGCGTTTACGTGACGATGCAAGCCAGTTTTCTGCAAGCTATGCTCTAGCGGCCCTGGCAGTGAACGGAAGAGAGTTTGGGCTGTCGTCTCATCAAAGAGTGTGCTACGCTTGCTGTCTCAGAGCCCGTGACCCATGATGCTCAACTCCGCAACAGCGGGCTGCTTTCATTTCTGCAAAGCGGTGCACGCTAAACACGGTCCCGCACAACGATTGAGGCGGCAGCGATCGGCGCCTCAGCGCTCTGAGGCAGTCGCCGGCTTTTAAAAGCGTGCAGTAGGCTTAAAGCCGTGCTACGCCACACACGTATGGGTTTTTTATCGGTGATAAGGCATACTGGTGCGCTTTTTGGTAGTCGCCACATTGCCTTCGTTTGTTTGGCAATGGTTACCACAAAAGGCACTGCCACAATTGCGCGGAAATCAGAATAATTGATCAGCTGATTCTGTGCTTTTGCAATACCATAAATGTACAAGATAGCAACCATCACGTAATATTTACTTGTGATGCCTGCTGTCAACATTACTTTCGGTTCTAAAACTACCTAGTGGTGAAGAAATGACGCAAATTATACAAAAAAGACCCTTTTGGAGCAGTATGGCGAAGTAATTTCCCGTTGGCGCAGATTTCCCACCCCTGCATTTCTCGAATATTTTTACATTTTTGTAATAGTTGGAAGCAAAATGGCAAAAAAAAAAAAGAGCCGAAGAGGATTTCTCACATATCCTTATGAGACAGCAACATGAAAGCACTTCTTTTCGCTAGGCTGACAAAGCACCGGTGGGGTGGTGTTCAGTAGCCCTCATATCGAGAATGAGGCAATGCAGAGGCCTAATTGTATTATGTATTTGATTTGGAGCAACCAAAATGTTGCTGATGACGCTTTATACGTGAAAGGCAAAGATGCTATTTCCTCAGCCTCTTCTCCACTTTCAACTTTTGTGGAAGCCCAACTGATGTGGCGGACAATAGTGTGCTCCCTTTAAGGGCGCGATGCAGCTGTTTTCACTGTGAAAGATAACTTTCACTTGACGTTGACATTCATACTAACAGCAGGACATCACTAGTTGCACTTTACAAGGCCACAAATTACAACCTGCACACCTCAATTGCACACAAAGGCATTCTACACACACTCTCTTCATTGAAATGATATTCCCTATCTTCATTGAAATGATATTGTCTCGCGGTGTATATGCCAAACCAGTAAGACGGAGAAGCAGTGAAGAGAGTGAAAGAAGTGTTTGTCGCCATTATGTGATAGCGATGACACTGTGACTCTTCCGATGGGAGGCTATTGGCAACACGGTTTCGGTTTCGTTTTCACGCGCAGGCAATTTTTGGACTCTATTTATTGGTAGTAAGATGCACATTGGATACAATTCTTTTTAAACTTAGAATAGAGATTCGCTCGCAACTTTTTCTACAAAGTTACGCCGCCATTAGCTGTCCCTGACAAGAATAATTTAATCTACCTTTCTAGCAGAAGCACAACGTCGTGTCGTGAGCTTATTCAGGCGGTCTATACCCATTTTTTTGGGCAAGGCTGAGTGTCACTGCTATATTCTTAGTTTTTCGATTATACGACGGTTTTGCGTGGTCCCCTGAAAGTCGTATAATCAGGGTTCCACTGTATTACATAGTTGAAAACCAATTTGAGTTATGATATCAGCACAACAAGCAACACCTGCATGCCAAATTTCATTTTTTTAGCTTCATAAATAACAAAGATAATTTTCATTGCCTCGTCCCCCTTTAAGTGAGCCCCCACTTTTGCCCCATCTATCATTTCCATGTCGGAACCAGGGTTTTCTTGAGTGAATAGATCTGCGACAGTCTTCAGGGAAGCCTGAAAAGGCAGTTTTGCTGCAATACGAAAATGTGATAAGGCGACGCATATTTACCTAAATGGGTCACTTTCGATCTCGCGTTGACTATACTTGTGTTGAAAACTTTGAATAAGTCCGAATAGTGAAATTCCAGTGTAAACTGAATCCAATAGCAAACACTATTAGAAAAATATTCAAAATTTCAAATATTTGCATGCCCCTAAAAAATAATGTGCTCTTCCATGCCTCTGCTTGCCTCCCTCTGCATTGGTGGTCCTTATTCTTGTTCTGTTCAGTGCAAAGAAAAGTCGCCTCTCACTTTACAATCAAGTAAATATGGAACTTTACACGGTTGTAAATTTCACTGCACTTTTAAGGTAAAGTACAGAAGGCTAGGTTCTCACAGTTGTCGGCATGTGCTGTGAGGATCAAAGTGGCATCAGGTGAGGTGGCGATGTGGCAAATTGGTAAGCCCATGCGAGGCACAAACTGTTTTCCTCCTGATGGCAGGCTCCACTTGACCAGCACACATTCACCGCCCCCGCTTAGCAGGAAGCTCCCTGAAACCCAAAAGAACATAGTGATGCACAATAGAAAGCCATGCCAGCAAGTAAGAACTAAAGTAATTTATAATGTCGGAAATTCACACTTAGAGGAACAAAGAATTGAACAAAGCTGGCATGCAGTGCAAGTACCCTCTGAATAATCATCGCCCTGAGTTTACCATACATTATTTGTCTATGAAGCACAGGTAAGGAGAGTTAAATATCCAGGTAGAAGTAGTGCCAATGAAGTTGAAGTACTATTTCTACAGAATTTGCACCTTGTTAGGTTAGGTGCAACCTAGAATTTGCACATTGTTAGGTTAGGTGCAATTTCTTTACAGAAATTGCACCTAACCTAACCCTATGCACCAGGTACTGGTGCATAGTAAAGCTGTACAGTGCGTGACCACCAAGCTGCCCGCAAAAAAACGATAGCTGAACTAAAAGATCTTCGCATAGAGTGGAAAAGGGGAAGGACATACACTCAAACCCAGATATAACAAATTATTGATTATAACGAAGTAGATGAAAAATAGGGTTGTCATAGCTACAATGCTACAACAATATGTTTAAAACGAATTTTAAGTTATAACAAAGTATTTTTTGGCAGGTAGGACTTTGTTATAATGAGGTTTGAAAGTATATATCTTTTTATAAGATGGCCATACGTTTTGATCATTTCCCAGTGTGATAGTCTGAAATGCTGCAAAGATTTTCAATAATACCCACTCCACTTGCCTCTCCGATTCGACTACTTGTTAGATGAATTATAATGGCGCAAAGTTAGGAGCAGCCAACAAACTACATGAGGGAGCACTTGACTCGGGCATAGGGCAACACCTCCAGATCCGCGACTAGAACACAACACGTCGCTGCAGCAAGATGGATGCAGAAGGTGTACCTTCCAGGGATGAGTTTCCCAAAGTACCGACCATACAATTTATATCATTCCGCTGTTTAGCTCCCATTCATACACAGTGGTCTATCCGATGAATCACATGGGCAAGAAGTGAATCTTTCCGACTCGAAGACACTACTATTGAGCAGCGGAAGCACCTCCACAAAAAAAAGCCAACTCGTCCATGTCGCCCGCCATTACCACCAAAAAAAGTTCCAACAGGGGGCCGCCTTCAAGGAGGCAAATGTACACAACACCGAGTTTCGATCAATTCTGCCGATTTTGGTGGAGCAACTTCTCTTGCTCCATAGAGCGAGTTCCGCTTTGAATCGACTTGGACTCTCTTATTGGAGCACATTTGCTTCAAAATGAGCAGGAAAGCTTGCTCAGACTTTACCGTTGAAATTCAACACTGTCCTGTTGATTCAAGAAATATAAGGTCCCCCTCGTTTTGTTAACCTTACAAGTAAAAGAACCGAGCATGATTAGAGCAAGACAGGGAACAGAGAAACACTCATTTCGAAAATGCAGTTTCATTGTAAGGCAGCTCCAGGTTAAAATATTCCAGTCCCATTGGTTCTTTAGCCGGCTTCAGATTTGGAGCAATTTATGAAGCAGGAAAAATAGAAAGCCTACTCTGAGCAAATATAGTGCATATTCATTAATGAGTAATTATGGCATGCTGCCGTAATGTGAACAAGAAGATGAAGTATAAGAGTAGCCATTAATTAGGCTTTCCGATGGAGGCGGAAATGTTGTAGGCCCGTGTGCTCAGGTTTGGGTGCACGTTGAAAAAGCCGAGGTGGTCAAAATTTCCGGAACCCTCCACTACCCTCTCTCATAATCATATGGAGGTTTTAGGACGTTAAATCCCACAAATCAATCAATCAATAATTAGGCTGTTTACACGAAATAATGTCCCATGTAGGCTTCACTGCAAACTCACAAGATATGCATTATGGGGAAGCATTAGTGACAAGTCTAGCACAGCACATGTGATTCCTGAGTGACAGGTGCCCAAACGTATTTCCTCCTAGTATGCAAGAGGGGAAGATTCGAAACGCTCAATTAATGTGCAGTGTCACTTACCGGAAACAGTGTAAGCCAAATCACAAACTGGAAGTGTATGCCAGTGGTGGATTGTACGCACTGGATTTGTCTCTTTTAGGCCCTGCCTGAAAGGACAAAGAACCAATACACTCAAAGCTCGATATAAAAAAACAGATATAACAAAACACCGGTTAGGACGAAGTAAATGAAAAACGGTCTTGCAACGGTCTTGCTGCTAAAAATAACCTTCATAACAAATTTTGAATAAAGCAAACTCATTTCCTTGTAAGATAAAACTGCGTAATAATGAGCTTTGGTAGATGGGTACAATGCGTAGTAAAAATGTATTCGTTAAAATAGACCATATTATCTTCACTGAAATGATATTGTCTCGTGGCTTATAAGGCAAACTAGTAAGATGGAGAAGCAGCGAAGAGAGTGAAAGAAGAAACGTTTGACGACGTACGCGACAGGAATTTTAGGTTATTCATACCATGGGCACACAGTCAGACTCTGAAAACCCCCTTACGCTCCCATGTTAATTTTGATCTGCCCCAAAGTTAAGGAGGCAATCACGAGAGCGCCCAGACATAGGCGGATGGATGGAATGGGACGAACAGACGAGACAGACACGTAGATAGCATGCTCAAAGTGTCTGCAGTTCACTGAGAAATGCTTGGCATTTAAAACATGGGTGTCGAGAACCCTGAAGAGAGCGCCGTAGTGCATGAGAATGCATTGAATATATCTGAAGTACCACGAGCTTAAATCCTAATTCGGTTTCGGTATCGAGGGGGCGGCTTTGCAATGACGAGTGAACCCATGTCCACATGTCTGATCTCACGGGAAGACCGCAACTTGCGACATACTAGCAACAGCTGTCAGTTTGCTTTCAGTCGCATGCGGTTCACGTAATCAACTGAAAGCTCATCCAGAGGCAGACTAAAATTTCTGCGACTCAGGCTGCATGCGGGAAGCAGATTTCGCAAACCCAGTGAACTGCGTCGACTTGTTCTGATAACGTCCACTGCAGTGGAGCTGGCTAGCAAATGCTGTGCGATGAGAAATTTAAAATCGAAGTAAAATATTTTATTTTAAGTGTGTTCTCTGGCCTTCATGTGTAGAGAGCAATTGATAGTGCACCCCATGGAAACAAAAATATCTTTTTCAGGGTGGCTAGAAATTGTGTCACTACTGCTTTAAGTCACGTTCACTGCAGTACTCTCGTGTTAAGCAAAAAAGAAAGCATACTCAAACTGCAAAGGGGCTACTAATGTATTTACACGATTTTAGGTCAACCTATTTGCTGAATTTGAAATCTGTTGGGAAAATCGACCTAAAATCAAAAACAAGTTTTGGGTTCTAAAGTTTTTAAAGAATAATACCCGAGTAATTCTTTTTTTTTCAATACAAGCTTTTTTGCGTGGCTTTCAAGCACAACCGTGAAGTCACCTTTCGTTTCCTTTAGGGACATTTTTAAAAAAAAATGTCCCTTCCGCCCTTTTTTTCTTGCCATGCGATTCTGGGGAAAGGGGGGGGGGGGTGTCAACCTATATTGGAGCCATCTTACAATTATGCAAATGTGGTAACTATAAGTATGATTGTTGACATCAAAAACTTTACTGGCAATCATTCAAAGCTTTTCATGAGCTTCTCATGCTGCTCTGAGAAACAATAAATTAAAATGTACACCAGCCTCCTTTTGTTGCATATAAATTTTCCACGTTTTCTGGTGACACAAATATTTTTGGTGACTGCACTAGATTTGTATCACCAGGTTTAACTGTGTCTCGCTCGCAATGCTCGAACGTGCCAACAGCTGTGGACTTTTGGTATAAGGGGCAGTAATTTGGGTATGCGGCACCATTTGTAGAGGAAACGGAAAGTGATTTCTAGCTGGCTACGGGAATGAATGGTAAATTTCGTTGAGCTACTATACAAGAGAGAGAGAAAAAAAAGAACAACAGTTGCAATGACTGCCCCTCTCTGCCATGAAATTCTCTACCAGCGATGTGTGTCAAGTTCACGAGCGTTTATATCCGGGCCTTTAGTCTTGTTCTTCAGTGGTGTATGACAGACACATGGGTTTTGCATTATATGTGAATATAATTGCATTAAAGATTGAAAAAAAAAAAAAGAATTTCACAGCATAGTAACTCAATTACACAGCTTACCAGCCATCTCAACTTTGCAGTTCAAGAATCTACATTTTTCAATGTTCAGAACATAACTGGACAAATGGCCGATTACAGCGACTAGTATAGTTTTACCTCCCTGAAGATAGGCAGTGTGAACGTAGATAATTTATCTACTTAAAGCTTCATAGACATGATTAGGGTTCCCTTTCAGGAGGGGAGGGGGAAGCAAAGGTTCTTTGCAGAACCCCCCTTCCCATGAGGTCAATGTATAAGCCTGACTTTGCCTCCTCCCTATGATGTCAATAGCAATGTACCAGATGGTGATGCGCCCCAAGGAGTCACCGGTAGCAAGTGATGGCTCACTGGGGTGGCAGGTAACGCAGCAGAACTTCACGCCTTTCTTGTGACCCATGGCTCGAAACCTGCTGCAACAGTGTTTGAAAAGGCAAGAGTAAGAAATAGCAGCGGCCAAGCGCCACAGACACCGACACATAATAATTTACACATGGACAATAACCAAGGGTGACCCAAAACTGAAACCTCGTGAAACTAAATAAAACGACCTATTTCACAAGAGAAGCACGAAATGTTGGCCGTTGAATCACATAACGAGTGTTAACTTGCACTGACACAACCTGGAAAATTAACTCCAAATTCTAATAATTTCAGAGGCAGGTGAAAAGTGCTCCACATCTCCCTTTAAGTGAAAAACAAGAAATCGTACATAGATGCTGATTGGGAAGGCAGCCCTGTAGTTCCGACGAAGAGCTTGGCCTTGTAGATGGCTGCATAGAAACCACCTTCCGAGTTGAAGGCGACGGGAGAGGAGCTGCCAAGGGTAACCTTCTCCACGAGCACCTGGCCTTCTGCACCATCACGAGACACACTCTCGAGCGTCCCGTGGCTGGCATCTGTTGAACAAAAACACACAGCCTCTGAATGGTTAATGCAACTACCTTCAATAGTCTGCCAATATTACTGCAAAAGGGAACATGACACCTGGACACGTCTCTGTGTTGAACGAATTTCAGGTTCCAAGTGGCACTGGCCAATTGAAAAAATGTGGCACATGAAGTGCGTTGCTGATGAATAAATAAGTAAATAGGCAGAGAATAAAATGCCATGCACAAAAATAGATACAGCACTTTATTTGTGCCAGTGGCTATGATTTCACATGATGTCATTTATGACTGATGATGGTGCACGAACATTTAATTGTACTTGTGTATAAAGGCTAGGTCTGTTTCAAAAGAATTGGACACACAACTTCCACCTTTAGGCAATTTGTTTACACCAAGTTGGACATGAATCAAGGCTAGTAACAGTATTTACAAGAAAAAAAATATATGTTATAGCAAGATACACAAGTACTGGTGAAAGGACGGCGAATACAAAAAAAGTGTGACAGATAATACTGAATATACTCTGAAATGAATAAGGACGACATATCTAGCTAAACAATACATAATAAAAAGGCATGGTAAGACATTTTTGATATCACCTTTTGGGGAAATATTTCTGTCCTAATTTGAATAGTTTGTTAGCAAATATGATCCAACGACAAGCCTAAGCTTTCCGTACACAATGCAGGGCAATATTCCACCTAAAAGAAGTATTAGAGCACGTTACAAATTCAAGCTTACCTGGTTCCTGCCTGAGGACAAACCAGGAGGAAAATGATGGCGGAGCATAGAAGCCTCTCACCTTGGATTCCTTCCCATCTTCAACATGTATCGAAATCTCATGTTTCTGCACAGGAGGAGTCACATGAAGGAAACCAAATTAAGGAACCCACGTTTTTTTCTTTGAAGTATTGCTCTTTGTGAACAAAATGTGACATGAAGACCCTTGACCAGCAACAACACATGTGAAATATATACCGTACTTTGAGAAATGAAAAATTTGTGAGCACGAGTGCCACTCGAGCCGTTTTGACAAGACTTGCCATCTTTAAGGCTGCAAAAAGGCAAATCTGCTTGTCTAAATGTTGCTCTAGCAACACTCCGTGTTCACTAACTTTTCAGCTTATTAAGCTTCCACCTTTCCATGAACTTCTGGTAGTTTTTGAAATACCACATAATTTGTCTCATGAAATCAGATGATGCTATTTCAATTGATTTAAATTTACAGCTAAGACAGTAAAAATAATGCCACTTCATCAACTCCTTTAACAATATTCACACTAAACACACGATACTCTACAAAATGCATTGTAAGTTTTGTCATGCCTCATTATTTTCAGTTAATGCATATAAGGAAGGTATACTACCTTGTTAACACACAGATTAATAATCACTGCTTTGTGAACAGCATGCACGCTGTGCAGGCAACTATGTACAAGCCACATTTACAACTGTGTATGACTCAAGCCAGTTCTTGTGAAATTTTATTATACACTGGCGATGTCCAGGCAAAGGGGATGAACTTTTCCTCATGAATACATTTGAAAGTGTTTCAGACAAGCACAGGCGCAGCTAAGGAGAAGCTGGGGATGTTCAAACTCTCAGAAATTTTCCAATTTTGCAAGTGTACATAAACACGTGCCCATACAAATTCACATACGAAAGTATGGTTTAACCCCCCCCCCCCCTAAATTGTGGCTAAGCTACTACAGACGAGCTCCCTAAAGATGAGAGGTCAATCAAATGAAATCTATTGTACTGTCAAATTTCGTTCATACATTCTGCATATGCTTTTCGGCTGGGCACATTTGTCTTCTTATTCCCAGCCAACGTCTCTTGGAAACAATGCCTTTCAATGCATTTTACATGACCAAGATATTTGCCCAAAATTGAATAATATGACAGCAAAGATAAATCTTTACCTGATATATCCAGAGATTCTACTTTTTTTTTTTTTTAATATACTAGCTTAAACGGCTTTCCAACAAGCCATGGTCTGCACGTCGCAGAGGTGTTGAGGCCACAGCTCCACTCTTCTTTCGGTGAAAAGACGGAAGTGCAGCTCAAATTGACTAGCTATTACAATGTTGCTCAATAAAAGAGAGTAGCTGAGAGAGTATGAATATTCCCCCCCCCCCCCCTCCTTTCGTCAATACAATTTTTGCATGATATGTTTCATTTTCCAGTTCCTGTGAAAAAAGTATCAATGAGACTTCACTGTATATATTGCAGCAATTGTAGGCCTTGCCTTCCCATGCAGTCTCCACATCTGGGCCATTGAACAATGAAGGAAAAAAAGTACATTCGCTAAAACTCCAAAAGGGTTGCCGCTCCCAATAGCCACAATTATTTCCCAGAGCCTTGCTTGACTCTAAGTAATGTTCGTCTATTTCTATCTCCCGTTAAGGTGGAAGGGACCTATGCTGAGGCAGTGAGGCTTGCTTACAAAGCAAGGGACATTAGCAGTTTGAAGAAGTCAAGGTGAATGAGTCCACGATCAAAAGCTTAAAATTCTGTAACCATAAAATATACAAATGCTGAAAGCTGCAAGGCACACCTACAACAGGATCTAGAAATGCCTCCCAAGTTTTTGCGCTGCTTTCCGAAATTCCAGTTGGTACGTTTCACCTTGTGTGGACTTTTTCTTTTATATAGAAAACCACACTTTCGTGTTCAGAAAGCTGTGCAGGCAGTTATACAAATACTTGCTTTGGTCAGTTCTGGCTTCAATGCAATTTGTGACGATCTGAAGAAACACATCCCATGATGTCACACTTAACACAAAATGAAAGAAGTTCCACTAAGCACAGTAGGAATTTACAAGAACGTGAATGTCATACCTTAAGCACAGAACCATCTGAAGGGTCCCACTTGTACACAACACCGTCGTCAGAACAACTTAGCACCTGAAAAATGGCAAAGTGCATCCATTAAGAGACTGATACATCTACAAAAGTGCCATGCAAAACATAGCTTTAACCATAGTTATTTGACAGATTATTTGAAACACTCCTTAAGCAGATACACATGAAGAAAAAGAATCATAATCATCAGCACCAGTTTTACATGTGTTAAGTTTATAGAATAATACAACATACAAATGATACATGTTCTTGCTAACTAGCTAACCAAAGCATGATGAAGCAGGGGTGGAAGTGGACTTTACTGCTTTGGAGCAGCTCAGGGAGCAAGAACAATGCTGTTTTGGAGCAGCTTTGGCGCAGTAAAATGGGAGCATCAGAGCAGGGTCAGAGCACCAAAAGGTGTGTTTCGAAGCAATGCAAGTTAGTCTTGGAGCAATTTTCTAGGCTGAAACATCATATTCAATCGAAATTATTTCTAGGAAAAGAAAAATTACAATAGCTTTCACTAAACCTTTAATACTCATGAGCTGACCAGACTTACTACCCACAAATGTGTGTGTGTGTGTGTGCACACGTCTGTGCTCCAATCATTAAACATCACACCTGACAGAGAAATAACTCGGAGAAAACAAGGAATAAGCTATGCTCATCTCTTGTTTTCATGATGACTAGATATTCACAAGTGCGCTTCGCTTGGTGGAAATTCGTTATCCCCACCATAATTAAACTACTCTGCTCATCTGTGCTCAGTCTGGAGCGAAGTGGAGATCAGCAATTCACAGGGCAAATTCGCGCGCATGCTACAGTGAGCCACCCGGCAGCGACGGCGTGGGCAGCATAGGCGCCGCATTGTTCGCAACTAACCAGGAGATGATCGAGTCCATGCAACCACTCCGTGTTACAATTGAACTTTCATTTGCCGCTTGGTATCAGATAGCAGTAGAGAAGCGCACATATGTATTGCGGAAAGCCGATCCGTTCTGTTGTTATATCAGTCGATGCGTATCCTAGACACTGTAATTTTTACGTAACAATATTTTCCCAATTCTGCTTCGCCACTGCGCGCTATCAAATGATCGTACGGGAGTGCCAGCCCCGTATCTTTTTCGCACTTCGGCGAAAAAGAAAAAAAGACTTTGATGGGTACTTTGGGCAACAAATGCTAGTGTTACTGTATTTGTTTATTGGTGGCAATGGTGCACGTCAGGAGATGCACATTTGTACTTGTAAACGCGTGATGCCGTTCATGATCATGCCGCAATTCCAGCAGGCCCTCCCCCTTTACTGCATTACTAAATAATTCACAGTTACTCATGTTGGTGCAACCACTTCTGTGCGAAACCACAGCGATAACAACGATGAGACAAGCACTAGCAAGCCCATGAATGAAGCGAGTTATGTGATCATGATCGAACATGTGATCAAACTACATTGGGTATGGTGTGATGGATGTGGCCGCGTCCTCTGTGTGGCCAATGCTCAGTGAGTGCTCGATTAACGATAATATTCGGCTAAATTTATGCAGTTTATTCTTCCAATGGACAATTGTTGCGGAAATTACCGTTGAAGCGCAGCCTGGCGCAACAAGTCAGATTGGCACAGCACCTCCCGCTCCTGTTTAAAGTGTGGCAGATTACTTTGTCTACAACAAGCATTATTGGTTCTACTGACTTATTAGGGGTATATCCATAAGCTTCCCTCGCAAACAACCAATAAGAAATGGTTTAAATCAAGCAATTTTCAGCAAAAAGAGCATAAGCACACAGCCAGCATAAAAAAGTGCACACACACACACTTTTTGCCCTAGACTGAAACCTTTTCAAAATATATATCATTCTCAAACAAGTTACTGACTGAGAAAAGTGTACTATGCTATCATTGTATCTCTCAGGGAGCAGAACATCAGCTGGAAACTTCACAAAGTTCCTGTTAAAGATGGCACCTTGCGATATTCATTTTCTTTTTTTTTTCCAAACAAGGGACAGGCATGCTTTTCTGCCAGATATTACAAGTACTGCACGGTATATTGTTTCACCAAGGGAGCAAACAGAGACAACAAAATAAATGGCGGTTACTTACACATCTACTAAAGAAAAAATTCAAATTGACAACAGCCCGTCTGTAATGCAAGCTACAAGAAATCTTGATGGATTTCTCAGAAAGAAAGCTTTTTAGCTGACAAAACATTCATCTTGCCCTACACATCCAACTCAGTGGCTATGCCTTACCATTACTGTTGCTTTTTCATCTGAGCTAACCAGGATGATAGAAATTTAAAGTGCAAGGCTGAATTACTGGGCAATTGAAGCGCGTGGACACTGAACATTGCAAGTAAGTTTTGCACAAACACACCAGGTGGGTAGAAACCTTTTCCAGAAAAGGCAGTGCCACAAGCGGAAGTTATGATGCGGGCAATGTTCACAGACTTGCCCTTTCAACCATCACGTGATGTCAGTAACATGGAAAGAAGTTATTTGTGAAGTGTTTATGCCTTTCTTTGTACACAGTTTCTGCTGGTGGATGAATTTCGCTCTGGACCACTCACCTGCACCAAGGTTTTCTGGGTTCCTTACAACAGCAACTACTTCAGTGTTGTGTTCGCTGAAGGTGCCTGCACGTTCTCCGGTAGCACAGCTGTAGACTTTTACACTTGTGCCGCTCGGAACGAGAAAAAGCCTAAAAGGAGAAAAGTGAGTAGTGCTTATTAGAGGGTTGTAGGTTAAATGAATGTTGTGTCACAGCTTTTTACGCTGCATCGTCTTTATGAAGCAGACACAGAATGCACTGCACACATAGAGTTGCGAACTTATCACAATTCCCATATGTGAAACTAAACAAACTAAGACCTAAGGTAAAGAACAAACATGATGAAACTTTGCACACAATGAATAATCTCCTGCTAAAAATATGTCTTCCTGTCATGAACTTAAAGTGAGACAAGGGAAGAAGCTCCAGCATGTTGGTAATACATGTAAAAGTGAGTACCATGTGAGAGATACATGTATGTGTATGTGTATCTCTGTGCCCATCTTTTATTAAGTAAAATGGTATAGGTGCTGAAATCTGGCATGCAGGAAAACTTTCAGCCTACAATGTTTTCTCAAAATGAGAGACAGTATTGCAAACCATAAACCACAAGTTGTGCACCATGTGCAAAAGTATATTGTGGTTCACATTTATTGTTTTTCAATCATCAACAAAGTGATATTTTAAGTAAACCACTATGAAGCAACAGCTGTTGCAACGCTCCTGTTCCTACGAAGCACACTTCATGGCAGCAAACGTGTCAATTTCGAACGACCCAATGACTGTGTCAGATCCACATGACTCCAATGCTTGCCAAAACTTGACATTGTGTTTAAGGTGATGATTTTTGAAATGGCTGACTTCATACATGAAAATTTGGCCAAATGACTGGTGGCTCCAACTGGACTACTAAATAGGTACTGTTTAGCGATAAAGCAATTCAGTTTAGTTCAGGTTTTACTAATAGTGTACCACAGAACGAATGTTACCGCAGAACTGAGTTAAATATGAAACTTTATTTTCGGTTGAACAATCAAGAAATATTTTTAGCAGCCATACAAAAAAATAAAAGTGGACATATGTCCTTCAAGGCAACCTCAGCGGCTGCAGTCTCCAACTTGTCCAAGAAGACGTTGCAAGGTATGGCTCATGCTGTGGGACTTACGGGTGTAAATTTAAACACAGTTGGCTAACGCTTACTGTTTTCACACTCGTGTTGGTTTCTTTTGTTTTCCCTTGTTTTGTGATGCTCCTCTCACTCAATGCTCCCCATGGGGCTTGTAAAGTACTTTTAAATAAATCATTAAATAGATAAAGTATAGTAAAGTATATTTATTTCAAAAATGCAATACCAACCAGCCCAAGTAGCCACCCTTTCGCAGGAAATTACAAAAACCATCATCATTACAGCTTGCGTAGTGCGACTGCCTGCGGTGACGGCTGTGTACCTCTATATTTATAAGTACTTCCACAAGCAGTGCAGCATACTCTCATAATAAAACACATTTTTTTTTTTCATTAACAAGGCTCAATGCAATGCCTCTCCAATCAAAACCTCACAGTGGCAGCTGTTTCTGTGCAGCAAGCGGAATTATCCCTGTCGAACACGCTGACGTGTGTACAGGCAGCTTCGAACAGTTCTTTAAAACAACTTACAAGCATGGGAAGCTAAGGCTAGACGTGAATACTTCGTTTAATCGAAACATTAGTGCGTGGAAACACCTTTGCATACAAATACTTCAAACACTACCGCAACCTTTTTAAACAAAAAAAAAACACACACACACACACTACCGTAACCTTTTTAAACGAAATGTGGTCCAATGCAGATGGGACGCGTGACATTTCAGCGCTTTTTGGAAGGAAGTGAAAACACATCTCGGCTAAAAACAAACACAAACCTGCGATAGCAGACACCGTGAGCTCTTGGGTGTCTACGGACCACTGACCAAATTCACTCGTTTCCACATTCCCAACTTTGCGACTGATTTTAGTAACCTCTGATCTACCTGTGCTGCACTAACTTTCCATGTTCTCACAATAATTCAGCTACATTCACTAATGATCGGGGAAACCTTAACCGGCAGTTGATGCAAACACAACGTCAGCGTTGTTACAGTCTTGTTCTTACTTATAGGATTTTGCTGTGATCCATACTTACTTGGAGTCATAGGAGAACGTCCCTTTGTGTTTTACCAAGCTTGCTCCTGTCCTACAGCGAGGAGTTAAATGGCTTTTGTAGGTCATGCTTACAAAGTTTGAGCACAGACGGACACGAGCATGGTCAATTTGCAGCGTGCACGCGGCATGGGAAAAAGTAGACGCTAGAGTGACAACACTTGCTTACACGTGCTTGCTTAGGACAAGGGTGGTTAGATGGGTGGATTGATATGGCTGTACCTTTTAAATCGGGTGGCGGCTAGCGCCACCTAGCCGCAATGCTTAGTGAACCAAAAAAGTTGATTTATATTTGTTTTTTTTTTTTTCATTAAATAGTGAAGTTGAGGACTGGTCCTTTGCAGTCAAGGATTTAATTTTAACTCATGCCTTGACTTTCGCCATCAATCAGATAACCTTCTAGTTATTTCTACCCACTTAAAGTCTATTTTGCCCTTGCTGTCCCTAAACTCCAGTGCTTTGAAAAACTCTGCGACATAATCCTGAACTATAGGGTGAAGCCCTTTACAGAATATTATCAGGTGTTCAGCAGTTTCCTCCTCATCTACACACGCACTGCATACCGTCTCTACCCCTTCGTATTTGTGCCGATAAGTCTTTGTTGGCAATACTCCCGTCCTCGCCTCAAACAGTAAAGAACTAGCCCGAGTATTATCATAGATCCTTTCCTTAGAAATTTCCCGCTTAAAAGTTCGATGGATCTCTAGTGCGAATTTTTTAACCATGCCAATTCTCCGCATGCTGGTCCCCGTTTTCTTCACCTTCTTCTTAACCGATAGAACATAAACTTTATTTGTCGAATCCAGACGATTCGAGCCCGGCGTTTTTTAGTGGGCCAGGGCACCCACCGCGGATGCGGTTCCGAGACCTTGTCTCGAAGCGGCTTCCTCGGCACGCTGGACAGCCCAGAGTTGTGCTGTCAGGTTCGAGCTGAGCAGTGCGGCCTTCCAACGCGAGTGGAGGCTGGCGGTGGAAGAGTGAGATGAATCGGCACTGTTCGAATTGTTTATTAGGCCCTGACACTCCCACAGCATGTGGACTAAGGGTGGCAACCTCGCCACATGACGTGCATCTGTTAGTAGTGTATATGTCTGGATACATGGCGTGCATGAGTCTAGGGTTTTTGTATGAATCTGTTTGTAATTGTCTGAAGTGTACCGCTTGCGCTCTGTTTAGCCTTTCGTGAGGAGATGGGTATATGCGTCTTTGTAACTGGTAATGTGTGGTGATGTCGTGAAACGTGGTCATACGATCCTCCCATGCCCAGATGTCTTCAGTTCCCTGCGGGGGCTCGTCGTCCTCCGGCGATGCTCGGTGAGTGAGGCCTCGAGCAACGCGGTGAGCCGCTTCGTTGGGGGTTCTCAGTCCGGTATGTGCCGGGATCCATAACAGGTGCCTTCGATTATCGAAGTCGACCTCTCCTGGATGTATGGGATGTCGTTGGAGTATGTGAAACGCTTCTTGCGAGATGCGTCCGTTGGCAAAATTGCGAATTGCTGTTTGCGAATCACTAATCACGTATGTGGCATTGGTCTGTGTGAGGGCCAGTGCTATAGCCGCTTCCTCTGCCGCTTCAGCGTGTGCCGTGTTCACAGTGAGGCTTGTGATGTACTTGCCACGATGGCCGGTAACTACCGCCACGAAACTCTTTTTATTGGTATAACGCGCAGCATCAGTGAAAACCGCTTCAGTGTCGTTGGAGTAGCTTTGAGTAATGCGTTGTGCCCTGGCTTTACGCCGTCCCGTATGATGTTGGGGGTGCATGTTGCGAGGCAATGGAGGTACGTATACTTGCTCGCGTACCGATCTTGGAATTTCGACTTTGATGCCGTGCTGCGTATGGTACGTGATGCCAAGTTTTTCGAGTAGGTGTCGGCCTGGGCGGGTCTTGGATAGGCGCTCGAGCTGGAAAACTTGTTGCGCCTCCACGAGTTCCTCGAGGGTGTTATGCAACCCTAGCTCTAGGAGTTTGCTGGTGCTAACTCCGGGCGCCAGTCCCAACGCGAACTTGTACGTCTTGCGTATCAGGGCGTTAAGCTTGTCTTTTAGATGCGGAGCATCTTATACTCGCGCCTTGTAGTGCGCCGTCCGCACCGCTTCTCGAACATTCGACAGCTGACGCGCGCGCATGCGCCGTCGCCCACTCTTCCACCATCTGTGCATCCCTTGCTCCTCTACACACCGCGCGCGCTTCACTCCTCCACCATCTGTGCACCCTTCCTCCTCTACACACTGCGTTCGACATCTACAATTCTCCTGATTCTCCAGTGGACGCGCATGTGGCGTCGCGCTTCGAGAACATTCAACAGCTGACAGTGCATGCGCCGTCGTGCTGTATATATACTCAAGGTCGGCACTCGCTCGCTCAGTTGCCGCTCGTCGGTTGGTTTGTACGGCGCGTCGACGTCCAAGGTCGCGGTGAAATGAATTCCAACGAATCCACAAACACAATGATCGACGTCCCTTCGACCAGCGCCGCCCTTTCGCATACGTGTGTACGTGTTCACTCATTTAACACCCCCTCCTACAACCACGTTAACCAATTTAGCCATCGACCCAAGTAAGTCGCAATTTAACACCCCATTTCACAACCACGTTAACCAATTTAGCCATCGACCCAAGTAAGTCGCACTTTAACACCCCGTTAACCAATTATATGGTCCGCATCCTCCTCAGTGTTCCCCCGAGGGAAGCTGCGGGCAATTTTTTTCCGCAACTGTCCATTTGTGAAACGGTGCCGTGTACATTGGTTGTGAAATAACAAAGGCTTGTATGAGTCGTATGGCGCTGCCTTCGCGCATGCCCGCATGTTTGTTTGTGATGCGTCGGATGAGTTGCATCGTGCTGGCGGCCTTTGCCATTATCTTGCGCAGTGCTTCACCATTGCCACCGTTCTGCTCAATCATCATCCCCAGTACCCAGATCTTCTTTACCATTGGGATCCCTATCGGAAAAAAACGAATGGTGGGCATGGTGGAAACCACCACCCACCATTATAGTGGATTAATGTAGTGGGTGAATGGTGGGAAACGCCCACCATGGCGCATGGTGGGTATGGTGGGTGCTGCAGTGCCGGCAACACTTGAGCGCGAAATGACGTCAGAATCACCGTGACGAACTGCCACAAAAAATAAAAAAGAATTCTATAAAAACGGTATAAAAAACACCCGTCCCGTAAAAAAAAAAAAAAAAACAAGGCGCCACGGAGGCTTGAACGTGCAACCTGCGAATTCCCATTCGAAGACGCTAACTACTGCGCCACACCAACATGACGTTGATTGCGTGTTAAATACTTAGTTGCCATACAAACTTAAGGTTCAACTCTGTTATGTTTGTCGTGTACACAACATAGAAAAGATGTACACCTGCTACTAAATATTGCACATTTATTAAACACAAGCAACTGCGGCCTGTAACGATTGCCACTATGTTAATGACACTAGTGCTATTTTTTGCAATTCACAACTTCAAGAAAAAACCCAAGTGGACTGGGGAGCAGCGATAGTTTACCGGCGGGGTCCGCCAAGTTTAATATCCGTTTCGCGCTCGTTCTAAAGGGCGACATCTGTTCACGCTTTATGACGCTTCTAGGCTCATTCCATAGATACGCCCGCCTAATTTATTTGATTGAGTATTGGGATGCTTTTCGCGCAATGTAGAGGGCGGTCGCGCCAGCGCAATGCTGTAGCTCTTTCGCTAAAGCAACAACTACATAACGGCTTGGCCAAAACGAACGCAGTGTGCCGGAAACATTACGCTATCATATTGGTTCACCAAGCACACGAATTGCCACGTCCGAGTTCTCGTACAAAAGCTACAGAAGTGCCGGCGAGTGTGACCGGCGGCTGTCGGTGAGAAGACACTTAATTACGTTCTCTGGGAGTGATTTAATCGCGTCGCATCGATGTTTGTTGCTTATTGAGCGGACACCATACACAATGAAAAATGCTTCAATTAGGTTAATTGATGCCATATCGCTGCGCTGTATTGTCATACTTAATCGTCGTAATCATGTATTCTGAAACCCGGAAGCACGGATAACACAATTGTACGGGCTCGGTCAGTAGGTCTAACCTTTGGTGGAAATCGTGGTGGTAGAACATGTAGTCTACAGATCCCAGCTTTGTACACTATATAAATTGCACGCCATTTTAAGCCCACCCATCATCTGCTTACTGCTTCCCAGCATTATCGCGATGGTGGGCAGAGCTGCTCAGCTTGGTACACCATGTGGGCCACCATAACAAGCAGCACCCATCATATGCTTAGTGCTTCCCAGTATTATCGCAATGGTGGGAAGAGTTTCTCAACTTGGTACACCATGTAGCCCACCATAATAAGCACCACCCACCATATGCTTAGGGCTTCCCAGCATTATCGCAACGGTGGGCAGAGTGTCCCATTATTGCCCACTATCTAGCCTCTGCTTTCCACCATCATTTCCACTTTACCCATCATCTGTACACCATACCACCCAGTATGTCCCAGCATAACCACCATATTTTCCACTAAGTCCCACCTTAGCCGTCATAATTTCCACCATGCCCACTATTATTTCCACCATGCCCACTATTATTTCCACTACTCCCACCATGTTTTCCAGTATCCACCATGGCAATTTCAATTTTTCCGATAGGGATTGGTGAGCCGTTTGATGATGTTAGTTTGATTTCTTGTTTTTCTGAAAGTACGTAGTTTTTGGGCGGGCGTCTCTTTTTCACCGGTCTATATAGCAGTAATTCGGATTTTTCGGGCGAGCAGGTGAGTCCCGTGCCTACGAGGTAATTTTCCACGCATTCTATGACCGCCTGTAAGTGATCCTCGATCTCTCCGTCACTGCCAGTTGTCGTCCAGATCGTAATATCATCCGCGTATATCGTGTGGTGCAGTCCATCAATTTGATGTAATCTCTCGGGTAACCCCAGCAGGACGAGGTTGAAGAGCATCGGCGAGATCACCGAGCCCTGCGGTGTACCCGAGCTTCCAATGTTGATTTGATTTGATTCTAGCTGTCCCACTCGCATGCGTGCGGTTCTTCCCGTAAGGAAGTCTCGGACGTAGTTGTACACTCGCATTCCGAGGTTCAATCTGTCTATTTGTCGCAATATGGCGTCGTGACGAACGTTATCGAAGGTCCTTCTTCAGGTCCAGGCCAAGGATTGCTCTCGTTGAGCACCCA